TCAGCCTGCGTTGAAGAGGCATTGTCAGTTAAGCGGCGTCCAATAACAGTATCTACAGTGCCGATGTCAGTGTACTCCCTGATCAAGACTCCACATCCTGCCTTCCCATCCTTAGCTACTGACCCATCACAATATACATGTAGAGTGTTTTCCGTAGGCAGTTTCCTAATTATACAATCATATGTTGCCCTCAGCTCTCCTATTTCATACATACTTTGTTTCTTTTGCAAGGGAGTAATTACTACATCTACATTACAATCCTCCCATGATGGTGTGAATTTTCTCTTGGGCACAGCAATACACTCTGTAATAACATCATACTTTATAACATTAGAACATAAGTTATTCATATATACTCTTCTTCATCATACATTGTTCATTACTCTGGAAAAACTTATGTCATAACCACTGAAGCACACCTCACTTCTTTCCTGGATGACTGTGGGATATCAGCTGAATAACCAGAACATAATTTGTAGTCTCACATACAACCAAAGTGTACTTAAGCTCTGCCTTTCCTTTCCAAAGGTGTTTATTTTTATTTTTATTTTTTTATTTTTGTTTGTTTGTCATCTTTGCCTGTTTTATACTCTTAATTATTTGTTCTTAGTTAATCCCCTTGTCACTAAACCAAGGGCTTTTTATTACCCTGTTAATTAACCATTACTAAGCTAATTATCTTCAAGATCATTTTTTTTTTTTTTTTTTATGATTATCATTTTTCTTATTATTTTTTATTTTACATTTATATTGTCAGTCTCTACTGATTTTTTGTTTTTTTATTTTATGTAACTTCTGTGTCCTCCCTGGCTAACTATTGGATCTTTATTTTACTTCTAAATTGTTACTATTTTATTGTATTTGCTTTTATTCTTGTGTTTTGCTTTATCGTGTATCTTGTATCGTGATCCCTCTGCATCCTATGCACACTGATATTGATCCTGATCAAAATCTTCTGTCTCATATCTACACCAACCAGCACATTGATCATCATTATTGCAAGTATTTCACAGCACACCAGGCTAAACACAAACTTCAAAATAGCACCTGTCTATCAGTTTATAACCAAAATGTTAGATCACTTGGTAAACATTTTGACGATTTAAATGCATTACTCACAGCAATAGGTACTAACCTATCGTTCATTATTTTAACAGAAACTTGGCTAAATAAAGACTATACCCAACTCTACAACTTAGCTGGTTATAAAGCCATTCATAACTGTAGGCCTAATAAAAAAGGTGGTGGCACAGCTATATATTACCGAGATACATTTATCTGCAACAGTGTTATTAGTGACAGAGATGACTACTGTGAATATACTTTTGCTCAGTTTTCAATTAAATCCCTTAAATCTTCTTTGACTATTGGAGCCATCTATAGATTTCCCAATACTAACATAGCTTCTTTCTCAGACAACCTAAGGAATCTTATTATAAACAACAATCTCAACAAAAACCACTTCATTCTGGGAGGAGATTTTAATATTGACCGGGGTCAACAAAATTGCTCTCAAGTTAACTATTTCCTTAACAGCATGAACTCCTGTATGCTAATCCCCACAATCACCAAACCTACCCGAGTCACCCAAACATCAGCCACTACCTTGGACCACATATGGACAAACATAACAGCTCCCCTTGTATCTGGTATAATCTACGACAGAACAACTGACCACTATCCTACCTTTCTCATAGCGAACATGGACATAACACCACCAAAAAGCAAGAAACTTTCATTTAGGCTACACAGTGAATCAGCTTTAGACAATCTTACAGAGGCACTTTACAATATTAACTGGGATTCTGAATTCAATAATACCCATGATATAAATTCATTAGCTAACCTCTTCATCTCCAAAACTCTAAGCCTCTACAACATTCATTGTCCCCTCCTTACCAAGCAAGTAACTGACAAAAGATTAAACAATCCATGGCTCACAAGTGGCATTCTCAACTCAATCAACAAGAAACATGAATATGAAAAGAAAGTTAGGATTGGCCTAGTTTCAAGGGAAGTAGCTAAAAGGTACTCATCAATGCTTACCAGTATCATAAGAAAGGCAAAACTTGCATATTATGTGAATAGATTCAATGAAGCAAAAGGCAACATGAAAAGCACTTGGAAAACTATCTCTAGTATCCTAGGAACTAAACAACACCCACATAACCAAATAAAACTCTACAAGGATGGGGGTATACCGTCAACTGACTTAGAAATGGCAAATGAATTTAACAGTTTCTTTTCATCGGTTGGTGCTAATCTTGCCAGTAAAATCCCACAGACTCAGACACATATTAACACATATCTCTCAGGCAGCTATCCAAACTCTCTTCTCCTTTCACCAATCAGCCCGGCAGATGTTGTGTCCATCATACATTCTCTAAAAACCAAGGCAGGGAACACCAGTGAAATTCCGTCCATTGTGTACAAGAGAGCCTCCCATGCCCTTGCCCCACCCATAGCACTACTGTTCAACAAATCTATAGAGTATCACACCTTCCCTGATATCCTCAAAAAAGCAAGAGTAACGCCAGTCCATAAAGGAGGCAATCCGGCGGACATAAACAATTATAGACCAATATCAAATCTACCCATTCTATCAAAAATATTTGAAAAAATTATTTACAAACAGCTCTATTCCTACCTCGTAAAATTCGACATACTCAGCCCCTGCCAGTTTGGCTTCCGGTCCCAAAAGAGCACCAATGATGCAATCATTAGTCTCCTTGACATTATCTACTCATCCCTTGACAAAAATGAGTTTCCGATTGGACTCTTCATTGACCTAAGAAAAGCCTTTGATACTGTTAATCACAACTACCTCTTACTTAAACTCCAGCATTATGGAATCCGAGGCCTTGCCCTTGACTACATCCGATCCTATCTTAGTGACAGACACCAATATGTAACCATCAATGATACAACTTCTTCCACTCTACCAATTACCGTTGGAGTGCCACAGGGCAGCATCTTAGGACCTCTTCTATTTCTTATATATATAAACGATCTGCCTAATGTCTCTAATATTCTCAAACCTATATTGTTTGCTGACGATACTACCCTTATCTACTCAAACCTCAACCCACATACACTAAATAATGTTGTGAACAATGAATTAAAAAAAGTCCACTTATGGATGTCAACGAACAAACTAACATTAAACATCGAAAAGACTTACTACATCTTATTTGGAAGCAAATCATCAAATGCAATTCAGCTACAGATAGACAACATTAACATCAGTAATAAAAATGATGGCAAGTTTCTTGGCCTATTCCTAGACAAGAGACTCAACTTCAGCACCCACATTCAACACATAACTAAGAAAGTCTCTAAGACAGTTGGTATACTCTCCAAAATCAGATATTATGTTCCTAACTCTGCTCTCCTCTCACTATATTATGCACTAATCTACCCCTATCTTAATTATGGTATCTGTGCATGGGGGTCTACCACTGCAAACCACCTTAAGCCCATCATCACACAGCAAAAATCTGCTATCAGAATAATAACTAACTCTGCTTTCAGACAACACTCAGCTCCCTTGTTTAAATCCCTAAACTTGCTAAATATTAACTCCCTCCACACATTCTCTTGTGTCAACTACATTTACAAAACCCTGTTCTTAAATGCAAACCATGCTCTGAAACTCTCCCTGGACAGATGTAATAGGACCCATTATCACCACACCAGAAATAAATATCTCTTTGATATCCCCAGGGCCAAACTTAATCTGTGTAAACACTCTATGCAAATTAAGGGACCTAGTCTATGGAACTCACTCCCTAGTGAATTGAAAAACTGTAAAACTTTTGCCTTATTTAAAAGCAAAACCAAAAAGTACCTAACTTCATCTGTTTAGTTTCCTACACCGAGCTTTAAATTTGCTCTGTACCTAGTGTTACCCAATCTCCAAATTTTTATGTAATATCAAACAACCTTATCATTGTGTTCATTGCTGTCTTCTTTTATGTGCTAGCCATATGCTGTATTGTGACTACCAATTTTTGTCAACTACCATTCAAGCTGTCATTGCAATCAATCATATATTGTTTCTGCTGTATTGTGCCTACCAATTTGTTGTCAACTACCATTTTAAGCTGTCATTGCAATCAATCATAGCTACCTATGTGCTTTAATATACTGTACCTATATTTTTCTCTCATCTTCTTTTTTTTTCATTCCATGTAATCTGTTTTCATTTTTTTGTCTATAAACTTTTCAAGTATTTACCTCCTTAAAATTTTCTTAGATTAAGGACCTGCCCGAAACGCTGCGCGTGCTAGTGGCTTTACAAGACTGTAATTACCATATTTGTATCCTCACATTCCTTATGTACATTCTTGTATATGCATAAATAAAATAAATAAATAAAAATAAATAATTACTTCCCACCTTTTGAACCGAGAGGATTAATTCATTAGCTCCCCCACCTCTCATTAATCTAATGGCAGAGGCTACATTTATCTCTACAATTCTATCCCCAATACTCTGCAGATTCAACTCCATCCTCATTATCTCAATCATAGCATTTCTTGCTATGATTGCTACGATTATGATTGATAAGAAATATCCCCTTTATGTCCATCCCTCCACTTGTAAACCTCTATCATGTCACCCGTAACTCTTCGCCTTTCCAGTGAATGCAATTTAAGCTTTGTTAATCTTTCTTCATATGACTTCATATATATTACTTTATACTTTACTTTATATATTTTACTTATAAATTAAACAAATTATCCCTTGCGTTAGCACTATATGCGTACTAGTGGCTTTAGGTATTGTATGTACTACCTCTATCTTTAAATCAAACAATGTTTGTACTGTAACTCTGCAACTATGTATGTACTTTTCCTAAATAAATTATTATTATTATTATTATTATTATTAAAATAAAACTTTATAGTTTATGACTTTATTATACAGTGGACGCCTTGAGGTACGAGGAAGGTGTCCGCCTATTGGTGGATGCTGGCCTTGCTCAGCCAATCACAGGCGAGGTAGCTCGCCCATGCTCTAAATTCGAATGTTGTTGTTTTGCTGAGTTAGACGAGGAGCCTTCGGCCTGATTAACTTACCTCAAGTGAAGCTCTTTTAAGCCAACATGTGCGACTGAAGGAAGGGGCTAAGGCCTTTCGTCATCTTAAAGGGTAAATCGGTGATAATTTTGTTGTGGTAACATTACTGCAGGGTTTAATATGGCCTGGTAGAGCTTGGCCTCCTCCATGTCGGGCAGTCATATGTATTTATTTATTTATTTATTTACAAGACGGTACATTGGGTTGTGAGAATATGTAACATTCTTGAGAAGCCACGAACATGCATAGCGTTTCCCTCCTTAGTCTAACGGGTAAAGGTAAGATTATTAATGGGTAGTGTGTGGCAAAAGTTGTCTTCAACATATAACTACATTAACAATTGATTTAGTTAATTATACTTGTGACAATGTGTGTTAACTACTAATATTGTGGGCGTGGGTGGCACAAGATACAGTGTGAGCTTGAAGCACAGATTGATAAAGATTAAGCCACCCAAGAGATGGCACGGGCATGAATAGCCCGTAAGTGGTACTGAAGCTCAGGGTTGGAAATTATGAGGAAGAAATTGGTACTTTTTTATTTTACTTTTAAACAGGGCATTGGTTAGTCTGTTTTTGAATTCATGAGGGAGTGAGTTCCAAAGTCTGGAGATATTTTATTTGCATGGAGTGTTTGCACATAATTTTTCTGGCAAGGTTTCCACCAATTGATGAAAAGAAGCTATTAAATTCAGTTACCGTTTCTAAGTTAGTTGGAGGTGTGTAACCATCCTTGGAGAGTGTTACCTGCTTGTTATGTGATTGTTGTTTAGCTCCGAGGATGTTAGAGATGGCTTTCCACATTTCCTTTTGCTTCTTTGAATCTACTCTCATAACAGGAAAGTTTGGCAGTTCTTATTATACAGTACTGTTTAAGCATTGATAAATAATTTGTAATTAATCTTTTTTTTTTAATATTTGTATTTCTTGTTAATTTCTTTAAGTATGCCACTTGTGAGCCAAGGGTCTAATCTTTTGGTAGTTACTTGCCTGGTGAGGAGAAGACAGTGAGTGTTGTAGAGGCTTAGATTTGGTGAGGAAGATCTTGGTTAAGGGATTTATATCCTGTGTATTATTGAATTCAGATTTTAGTTTTAGTTTAGTTCATTTATTATGCACCCCATACCCATCGTGTGGGCGGTAGTGGAAAGGGTTACAGAGGCACATAATGGGCTCAGGGACTGAACCCCACAATTCATTTAGCTAAGCAAGTTACAATCTTGATGAGCTAGTTACATAATTCAATATAAGTCGTCACATCAACAATGGGTTCGAGAACGACCTCAAGTACAGGTTCTAAATTAAGCAACTGACATATGTGGAGAGCTAATGTGTAATGTGCACAATTGATGTTTGTCCTGCACACCGCCCCCCATCCAGTGAATTCAGATGTAAGTCTATATGTTGTCATGTTATATATTATATATAGTACTGTAGTTGTATATCATGTATAGTCCATATGTGGTTATGTATAAATATAAATAAAATATATATGTATATGTACTGTATACAGTATATATACATAGATATATACCAGTAGATATATTTTTAGTTAGCATGTACTATATGCCAGTAGATATATTTTTAGTTAGCATGTACTATTCAAATACAGGTATATTAAAATAATAATATATATACTGTACTGTTCCAACAAGTCAAGTTTTAAAATAAAAATAACTTTGGTATACAGTAGAGCAGTTAAAAGTGAAATCTTTCGTTGTGTTGCAGCATGAATACATCGCAGAAAGAGAATGAGGATGGTGAGAAGAGCATCCAGCAACAGCTGTGGCATCTGCGGCATGAGGACCCTACCCAGTACCACACGCTGGTCAAGATGCACCTTTCCTTTGCAACAGATCTCCCCACAGACCAGTATGGCATTTTTTAAGTATACTGTACTTGTTATCACCATTTCTTTTGTGTAAAATTTTTTAATTTATCAATATAGTAGATGATAAACATTTTATATATACCTGTACTGTATTCTAATGTGAAATGAACGAAATGGAATAGTCGAGCCTGGCCTCAGGCTGGGATCAGGGAGTAGAAAAACTCTCGAAACCCTCTTTGGGTATGCTCCATGAAACACAAATTACAGTATTTACTGTATTGTTAATATGCAAGATGATGTTATCGGTGCATGGTGCAACTGAACATGGCAACCTTTGCAAGTATTGTGAGACAAGATGGGAAGAACTGGCAGGTAAATGGGTTAGGTTGTGAACCATTTTTTCTTTAACCTTTTCACTATACTTGCTTAGTTCCCCTTGCCCCTCTACTCGATTACTAGGCTGGTAGCATACCGCTAAACCTTCTTCAGCAGAGTCTTGTGATTGACGAGATATAAACTCCATGTTGGAGCTGCATACTCCAGGATTGGTATTGCATATGTTGTATACAAGGTTCTGAATGAATTCTTACACAAGTGAATTTTTATGTTGGTCAACCTGGCATATGCTGCTGCTGATATCCTTTTGATGTGGGCTTCAGGGGACAGGTCTGGCATGATATGAATACCCAGGTCTTTTTCACTCTCCGATTCTTTAAGAATTTTATCTCCCAAGTGGCACCTTGTATCTGGCCATCTACTACCTACACCTATCTTCATTACTTTATATTTGGTCGAGTTAAACTCTTAACAACCACTTGTTGGACCATTCCTTCAGTTTGACCTGGTCATCTTTAAACTTCATGCTGTTGTTGTGTGTCTTAATCCTTCTCTTAATTGTGACATCAGCAAACATTGGGAGGGATGAGTCTATACCCTCTGGAAGATCATTTACACATATCAGGCAGAGGATAGGTCTGAGTACAAAATCCTGTGGGACTCCACTGGTGACTTTGTACCATTCTGAAGTACTCCCTTATTCTCTGGAGTACCCTATTAGTTACTCTTGCCTATTTCTCCAACTTAGTACCCTATAAGAGGCTGGTGCATATGTCAAAGGGGTTTTCCAACAGTCCAAAAAAATGCAGTCTGCCCACCCTTCTTTCTTGCTTAATCTTTGTCACCTGGTTGGAGGATTCTATTAAACCTGTGAAGCAGGATTTCCAATCCCAGAACCCATGATGGTGGTGTGTCAAGAAGTCCCTTCTCTTCAAATGCACTTTGGCACTCTCACTTTGATGCCATGTTACTGTACCCTAGGGCTAAATGGCAGAATTTATATTTATACAGTAAAGAATTGTATCTCACGGTGAACAAAAATTAAAATCCATTTTGAGCCTACATATATGGACCATAAAATATATGAACTTGGAATCAGTCCATAAGAGTTCCAGAGTCATAAAACCATTATAAATGCATACAATAGCAATGTTTGTTGTGAGGGTTCCTATGATGGCTCCCAATATCATGTGACCTGGGTGGCTTCACCCAATATGAATCACAGAAAGTCTTTGCGAGTCATTGTAAGCCTACTGGAAACCAGAGGCTAAACCTGGCCCCCTTTATGAAGGCATAAGGAGCCGAGATCACTCGGACCAAGGGGAAAAACTTTGGAAAGACATGGTAAAATAAAACAGACAATAGCAACTACACCAAAATCGAGACCCCTAAGCAATCCTTCTGGTCATTAGGCCAGAAGGATTGCTGGCATCCCGGTGGTAAGCAGTTACCACCTGCTTACCACCAGGTTGCCAACTCGCTGGTTATTAAGCCCGCGAGACTTGACAAATCACTTTCCTCATTCCACTGGTGCTCCTAGTCCCTAGTTTTCAGATTAGTGATGGCCACCCTCTAGTCCCATTTGATTGTATACTCGTTTATTTTGGTAATAAACTAAATAACATTTTTACTTCATGTAATTACGTAAGTGTAGTTACAGGATGAGAGCTGTGCTCATGGTGTCCCGTCTTCCCAGCACTCTGTCATATAATGCTTTGAAACTGACGGTTTTAACCTCCACCACCGTCTCGCTTAACTTGTTCCAACAATCTACCAATATGTGCAAAAATGGATTTTCTAATTTTTTCAGCAGCTTTGTTTAGTTAGCTTAAATATATGATCTTTTGTCTTTGAAGTTCCAAGTCTTGAGAATTCCTGTTTATCAATTTTGTTGATTCCTGTTACTATTTTGTATGTAGTGATCATATCGCTTCTTTTTTTCTCTTTTTATGTGCATGTGTTTGTGCCTCGCTTGTGTGGACCGATTAACTGTTCATATTGAGCTGTATGTGTTAAAAGTTGCCTTCTCTAGGTGCAAGTGGTTGTTTGTCTGACAGGGTTGTTTTTCCTCGAGGGTTCTGATGACTGACCCTGAGAGTGACAGCCTTCAGTGGGGGGAGCATTCAATGAAAAAAAAGAGGCGACATGATCGCCACATACAAAATACTCGTAGTAACAGGAATTGACACATTTGTAACAGGACTTTTTTTTTTTAATTTGCACCCTCAGGAAGAAATGGCCATAGATTCAAGTTTAGGAAGCAAAAATGCCAAAAATCATAGTTCTATTTTGCAAAGTGAGATGCTGATGTGTGGAACAATTTAGATGAGAAGTTGGTGCATGGAAAAAAAGTACTGTGGTTAGTCATGTGACAGAGTACGCACTGGGAAGATGGGACACCTCGAGCACAGCTTCCCTCCCCTAAATACACACACTTGCGCACGTTCACAATGTCAAATTTATTGAACTTTATTCCTGCAATTTACAATTAGGAATAACCATAATTTTCCTGTATGTTGATAAGATTATATATAAAGTTTCTATTTAAGGTGTCATTTTCCTGAAATGTAACTTATCCATAATGTAAGAGTGAACTGTGTATATAACTACTGTACTTCTATAACCCAGGTTTCAACTACTCTTCTCTTTCATTTAACCAGCATCTTGTAAAGTTAAACAGCACATTCCTGCTTATTGAAATTTCATCTTTAAGATGTGATGGGAAAGGAAGTGAGCCATCATCTGGTTGGTGGTGGCAGCTGGCACCTCTGATCAAGAAGCTGGGTCGTGCTACCGTGTTAAGCAAAGGCGTGATGGAGGGTGCACCCCTTACTCAAGAAGGGGTGTGCCAAGCCTTCCAACTAATACACTACCTCAGTAGAGACTACAGTAGGTATTATTACTTTTATGCTTTACTCTAGATTTCAGTCTCCTGTTGTAGGGTATTTAATATTTCATAGCTTGCACACAATGATCATCCATGGACACTCCTTTCTCCCTCAAAATGCAGTTTTCAGGAAAACTGTCAGCCTATTATTTTTTACTTTACTTCATATGAAATGGTAGATTTGTATTCAAAACATTCCTTCTGTCATTTGTCAGCATTAAGAGTGTGACTGGAGCCAGAACCAAACAAAAAAACCCAGCATTGAATGTAATGAAATGCCTCTTTCTGGAGAAGCCCTGATGGCTCTATAAAGCTATCTTGCTGAGATTGCTCCATACTTAAAGGTCACATGAGTCACAGAAGATCTGTTCGGCCTACTGGGGACCAGAGCCAGAACCTGGCCCCCTCAGAAGCACAGAAAACAGGTAATAAATTTGCCTTCCCACTGGAAAAAACTCTAGAATGTCAGCAAAACTTTACAGACAACTGGAGGGGTCATCTTGAGATGATTTCGGGGCTTAGTGTCCCTGCGGCTCGGTCCTTGACCAGGCCTCCACCCCCAGAAAGCAGCCTGTGACAGCTGACTAACTCCCAGGTACCTATTTACTGCTAGGTAACAGGGGCATCAGGGTGAAAGAAGCTCTGCCCATCGTTTCTTGCCGGCGCCCAGGATCGAACCCGGGACCACAGGATCACGCGTCCAGTGTTCTGTCCGCTCAGCCGCCAGCTCCCTCAAAAGGGTTCACAGAAAACCGTCGCGAAACTGCCAAACAAATCTGCAAAAGATTCATACAGGGCACTTCAACTAGCTCGAAACTCATTAGTAAAAATTACCATTGCTATGCGGCCTGGCTCCAGCCCTCAACCAACTCCCCATTCCAGTTCTGGAACTGATAAATACCCCACACCAAACCCTAGGAACATGGAGGGGGAAAGAGCCTGGGAACCACTAGGAACCCCTATACAAAGAGATTTCATTATATTCAAAGATGAGTTTCTGAAGGGAGCCCTTTGGTGGCTTCCTGAAGCTAACTAACCGCAAAGAACAAAAGCAATACTCGACAGGAAGGAGGAGAGGTGGCCGACACTGAGCCGACGAAGAGGACCCAGGCCAGGAGACGACCCAAAACAACACGTGATGAACTGGGAATAGGACACTACATAAATATCAGGCCACCAAAACCTTGCTAGTGTGCCAAAACCCCCAAGCCTGAATATCAGACCAAGACATGTTGGAGAAAAATGGCAATCAAAGCTGCATATTTATGAACATCATGAGCAGGTAGGTAGACTGTAGGCTGGTTAGACTTTAACACTGCATGACCTGAGAAATGGGGAACCAAGGAAACGCCAACCAACAAGATGTCCACCCCAGACAGAACAGAAGGCACTCTGGTAGCAACAAAGAGCTGCTGCCGGATGCAAACAAAAATGCTGCACTCCAGAACCCTGCTCATTCATTTTTCACCAGAAAAGAAGGCTGCAAATGAACAAATTTCCCACCAGGATGAAGGAGAGCCCCCCTCCCTTTTTGAGAAAAATCTAAACCTTTCCAACCTTACAGCTGGATGTGAGAGCCATCAAAAAGACCACCTTTAGTAAGGTATTGCAGGGAACTATATGTATAAAACAGAGGTAAAGAAAGAGAAGCTAGAACCTGGTCAAGAGATCAGGATGGCTGAGGAGGAGCATGAGCAAGCCATGAGTGAAAAATTGCATGAGACAACTTGTAAAATGATGCCATGGAGATATCAACACTGAATGCAAGCAACAACTGCTCCTCCAACACCGAATGATAGTAGGTGAAAGTATTAGGCATGAGATGCTGATAGACAACTATGGTAATAAGGACAGGAGAGACCTGACTGAAACGGAAGGAACACAATGAAGAGACTAAAAATAGTTAAACGTTTAAAGTGCCAGGCAGCTTCACACTGCCACTGTAATCAAACACATTTCAACGATATAAAAAATATATATATATAAATTTTTCATGTGCACCACGGAGTTGTCACGTGAACAGGCATGCAGTGCAGTGGTTAAACATGCAATCTCCTTATTTATGTTTGTTTTCAACCATTTCCACTTAAACCCATGAGATGAGGTAGTAGAAGTGCACACATCTGTTCCACAACATTGAGATTATCTCCAATTGTTTCAACATTAATTTTGGTACAAGGCTTTTAATGTTTTCTGCATGTAATATAACAGTAGGTGAAATCCACTTCATTGATACTTGGCTTGCCAAAATATTTTATTGCTTTTTCATCTTGACCCAGACCAGCCTTTTTGTTTCATCATGCAATAATTTGAGTGGCACAGTATTTCTAACTTGTATGCATGTGAAACTAAATACTTTACTGTATAGCAATAATTATTTTCTTAATCACTTTAGAATTTCTATTTGTTGTGTCTTTTTATTGCAGTTTTATCCCATAGAAGGAATATTTTCAGATATTACTCAGGAGGGTTTGTTCCGAAAGAGCGGAAGTCTGAGTCGTCAGCAGGAGCTGAAAGCTCAACTAAATGCTGGGGGCGACCTCAACTTGGACTATGGCACGTACTCGGCCCATGACTGTGCCTCGGTCCTCAAGAGCTTCCTGGCTGATCTGCCGCAACCACTCCTTACAGAGGGACATTATTCCATCCATTGTACTATAGCTGGTAAGACGTTTTATATACAGTACAGGTATATTGACCGAGAGGTTTCTGAAGGAACGAAACTTTAATTTCAACCCCTTGTCTTCTAGATTTTTATAAAACCACTCAATATAATTACCCAAGTTCCTGCTATGATGGGGTGGGGAGGCATAGCCCAGAAGAAACAGGAGAATATCAATCCAGCATTGAATGTAGTAACATTACAGTACTGTACCTGTTTGTGGTGGATTCATCAGTGGCTGACTCAAGCTGACCTTGACCTTGACCTTGACCTTGACCTTGAGGTGCTTCTGGGGCTTAGCGTCCCCGTGGCCCTGTTGTCGACCAGGCCAACCTTCTAAACCTTAAGTATTACACCAGGCTCTAATGAATCATGAGTGTTTACTGGAACCAGAACCAGAATCTGGCCCCATAATTAAGGCAAGAGTTGTCTGGGGATGCATGATCACCATATTATTGTACAACAGGAGAGCCCACCTAAAAAGGGAAAGCGCACCGAAACTAGCAACTGCTTCAACATTTAAAGTACTGTACTATACTGTATACATTCATCAAGGTTCAACTGCTAATTAGTTATTCTTTGTTTTAATTAAGGCACATTTGATGTAAACACCCCACTGAATACAATACCACAAATTACTGAATGTTTGGTTGAAAAATTATCTGAATGAGTTTTGTTGTATAAATGTTAGTGATATGTGAAAGAAACTTGTTTTTTTTTTACTATCTACAGAAGTGATAAGAAGTAAATAAATAAATAAATAAATAAAATAAAAATTAATGAGCATAATGAGGCAATGGAATTGTAGTACAGTATGTGTTGTATAATATGGCCCTGCTGCTTCTCCTTGATGCTGCCATAGTGGGGAGAGAATTTCTTGTTTATCAATACAAAATAGAATGCAAAACATTAGATATTAATTGGAGAAGTTTAGATTCAGGAAAGACCTGTTTAGATACAGGTTTTGAAACGAGTGTTGATTTATGGGACAAATTCCCTTCTAACATAATAGATAATAGATCACTACATTTTGATGCTTGGTTTAGACATGTATTGATGATACAAATAGGAGCTCTTGTATGGCCCAATAGGTCGCCTGCAATTGTCTTTATTTTTATGTTCTTGTGTATGGTGAATAGATGGGTGTCTTTTTGAATGTTTATAATTTGCATTTTGTTTTTCATTCTTATTTTGCCATCTGCGGGTAAATGCTCCCACATACCATGAATGACAGACAGGTATGATGATGATCATGAGTACTTTAACAGTTTCCCATATTTTTGGCTTCCTCATTTATCCCTCTCGCATTCCACACAGTAATTTGACAAAACTCATTGTATTAATTTTATTTCGCAGAAATGCTTCAGTCGCATATGGATGATGACAAGAAGGAACACGCTCATGCTCGTCAAATCAAGGCACTTCGTCTCTTATTTTTATTGCTGCCACCACAAAACTATCAGCTGCTGCATGACCTCCTCATCCTTCTATATCGAGTGACACTCCACCAAAAGGAAAACCTGATGTCTGCTATTAATCTGGGAACAATGTTTGCTCCACATATTTTGTGTCCGAGAAAGGTATGTCTCCAGATTTACTATATTGTATAGTTTCATCCTCTTTAGTCACCTGTTATTAAAATTAGGTTGAGTAAAATTAAATTGAATGTGAGGATTAAGCACAAAATAATGAAAAAAAATACACATACAATTATTTGAAAAGTCACATTTGTGGAATTAGTAAAATTGCAATGAGAATGTGTCATTTTTATTATATGAGGAGAGAGCAAGTTAGAAGTTCAGAAGATATGACCATGGAAGAGGCAAGAACATTAGTGTAGAGGCTAATACGTGGGAATAAGGTGGCAAGGGTATAACCGTTGTATACCCGTCGATGATTCTGAGGATCAACATCCCTGCAGCCCAGTCTCTGATCAGGTCTCCTGGTTGGTTTGGTTTCCCCCAGGGAGAGAGGGGTGGTTGCGTGGGGTCTGATTATTGGAAATCCCTTGTGTAACAAATTAGAACTTTTTACATCTAGTTCATTCACACTAGAAAGCAGGATTGGTTCAACAGTGTGTGAAATGGCTAGAGAACAAAAGACGAAATCTATAATCAACATATGAGGCCTAACCCTTAAATGTACCAGCAATACAAGCAAGGTATAACTACACGGTAGTGAGAAGCAAGGGAGGAAGAAACCGAGAAAGGGATTGTGGATAAGTGTAAAACAGAACTAGACCATTTCTATAAATTTACTAAAAGCAAATTGCATGTAAAGGCCAAAATCCTGAGGTTGTAAATGGGGAACAGATTCAGAGTTGAAATGGAAATGTATGAAGCAGTAAATGAACAGTTCCAAAGTGTGTTTGTGCAAAACGAAGTCTTCTGAGAACTAGACACAATATGAATTTCAGAGAATACCATAGGGACACCTCTGTGTCCACTTCACCTTAAGACACAGAGGTGTCTCAAGGTGAAGTGAAAAAATGATCAAGGAGCTAGATAAAAAGAAGACAGTTGGCTCAGATGGAGTTTCACCGTAGGTTCTGAGTGAATACACATCTTAGCTGAGCACTCTATATAAATTGATTTTCAGGTATCTTTGTGTACAGGAGTCATAGCAGATACATGGAAAAAAGGCAAACATAGTTCTGATCTACAAAAATGTTAGCTGAGAAGACCCTCTAAATTATAGACATGTATTGTTGACAAGCATGGTAATCAAAACACTAGAAAAAATAATTAAAGCCAAATGGATTTACCTGGAGATAAATTACCTGTCAATGATGTAAGAGACTGTATGGTTTTCGAACAGGAAGATCCTGTGTAACAAATGTACTTATTTTCTATAATAGAGCCACAGATTTTACAGAAAAGGACATACAGGAATCAACATATGACAAAAGAATCATTTTTATATTAAGATTTTTCCTATTTTTTCTGAAAAATCTAATTGTTAGAAGACATTCGGATATGGCAGCGATGACGAAAGGACAATGGCGGACAGTTTTGTGGTGGGGGGATAGTTATTTGTTCGTAAAAAAATTAGAGATGAGATTTTCACATTACAGTATACCAGAACCTACGAGATTTTTCAGAATCTGTCTATATTTTTTGACTTGGTCAAAATATATCAAATTTAAAGCACCCAGCCCTTTAACCTCGCATATTTTATATATATATATATATAAAATACATACATATACAATTTGAGTAAGTGTCACCATACTGTGCACATCGTAGATATACAATTGAGGGTACCATGCACAATTTAAATGTCCTGCAGCTACACAGGATTCACATCAGCTTCCTCGGGGCTTTAGTAACAGACGCCGTTTAAAAAAAATCTTGGGTAAAGTTCCCGGATGTGAGAGCCTCGGTACTGAGTGAGCAACCAAGGCTGTTGCATGCAGCATGAGCTGACAGCACTGCTGTTCAGCTTGTGACCACAGCATCACCTAAAAATGTCAAAATATATAAACTGCTATTATTTAGCGATGATAGTATTACAGAGGACCCCTGACTGATAAAAATGACCAGGAATCTGATAGTAGCAGGATTGTGGTGATAATTAGCGCTGTGCCTAGTATGGTGGGATGAGTAACCTTGGTGAGGGAGGCAGGTAGCGTCGTCTGCTGACTGTGTGTGTCCACCTGTTATTGTTTGGTGTCTCCGTACCAGCTTAGTGGTTCGCTATAATGAACACAAATATAGATACTTATATATAACGTGTATAACAGCAAAAGCTGTGATGGAAGGAGCCATTTTGGTGAGGGAGGGAGGGAGCATCAGCTGACTGTGTGGTGACCTCTGTTATTGTCTGAACTTACCATACCAGTTGTACAGTTATGGTGAACAAAACGTGTAGATACTTGTATATAATGTCTGTATGTAGTGCATAAAAGCAAAAACAGTATTGAGGAAGGAGGAATGTTGGCGAGTGAGGTGTTGATGAGGGAGGGAAGGTGGCTGGTGTATGGCGGCCACTCTTGTTGTTTTGACTCGCCATACCAACTTAGTAGTTCATTATGGTGAACTAAACATGCAGATACTTATATATAACCTATGTATATAGTGTAATAATAGCAAAAGTATTTGTTTTAAGAACATAATACTTGAATCACTAATATGCACACCATACTTTTGAGTATAGCAATGGTTCACACATTTTATTATGTATCACACCACACACTGTTGAATAATATTACCGCAAAAAGACTAAAAAAAATCAATTGGAGACATTGAAATAATTAGGTAATAATATCTTTGTGGCAACTCCCACCCGACAGCTTGGGCAAAGCTGACTGCCTCTAACGCTTACTCTGTCAACACCTCAATTTTGTCAGACTACTTTGCCCTATTGCGGCCAGGTTATGTCGCCTACGATTTTTTTATTTTTTTCCGTGCTCAGAGAACACAAATGAACACTTATAAGATTAAAAAAAAAATGATTTTATTTTTTCATGAGCAGTGGTGATGAAGGCTATTGAGGCTGTAGCAGGTTAAGGGTTAAGATCACTATCATAGATGGTGATCGAGACTATAATTTAAGTTAAGTTTAATACATTAAGATTATTTTCTTTCCAACTTTTCAGATGGCTCCTAATGACCTACAGTACTTGTCAGGTACTCTAAGTACTGCTGTAGCCTTCATGATTGAGCAGGCCCCTCTGCTTTTCCAGGTGAGTGTCTCAAAGATTACACTTCTTAAATCCTGTGCTAGCTAGGCCATGGCAATGTCAGCATGATTAAGTGCTCACTGTGAAGTCTGATAAAAAAAAAAATTGTTGGTGTCCATAAATTATTTCTTGCATTCTTATTGGTTGGTTTGCAGGTTCCGCTCGAGTTGGAATATGACGTGCGGCAGTACTGGAGCAATAAGAAAACAATGCGATATCAGCTGTCAAAAGTAAGTCTAATAACTATCCAAACCAATACCAGTGGAATGTCATCCACTGAAGTTTAGTGTCACAGTTACTGTAGTTTTATATAATGCAACATATTACAGTTTGCAAACTAGTGGCCAGGTAATAGGATAAATTCCCAGTTTGATCATATATATTAATTGCATGGTTTATTAACACTTTGGCAGGCTGGCATCTAGACACATTGCCGACCCTAAATGTTTTGGTTCCTCGGGCTGCTTATGCCCCATTTGGGAATAGAAAATAATTTTTTCAATCATATACATCTTCTAAGTTATTGTTTGGGTTATAACTCAAAATATTTGCAAACTAATTTTCTAGCAAATAGATGTAAAACCAAAGTGTGTTAATTTTATTCTTGTGTATTATAAAGTGTGTTTATGAATAGTAGTTAGATGAAGCGTTTGAACGTCATCAAAACGAGAAATTGTTAATAAGTGGCAATATTTGGTAGGACAAAAATGAAAATGGGGTAATAATTTACTGCACCATTTGCTTTAATTTATTAGGATATGCATGAAGTAATATCCCTTTAGGAAAACACCTGTGTCCCATTACTATCACTAGTAGGCATCTCTCATACATTCTTGGCAGGAATTGTGTTTTGTCAAAGTATTTTTGTTTTTGTCGTTACAAGTTTTTGTGTGCAGTGTCTGCAAAATGGCTTTGAATATTAGCATTTCTCAACTTTTATACCCTTGAAATTAGTCCAGGTTGTACTTTAAATACACACACAGATTTCATTGGCAACTGAAGAGATGATTTCTGCCTTTTGCTCTTGGTACTGGTTAAATGAGAAAAATTAAACAAAAATTATTCAAATACATTTTACACAACGAAACTGATGTAATGTACAGTACAGGGATTTCTCGAAGCCTTTTGACAAATGTGACCATGCTGTTATTGCACACAAAATGCTTGCAAAAGGAATTACAGTACTGGTAAAGTAGGGAGATGGAACTCTAACTTCCTAATGAACAGAACCCAGAGTGTAATGGTCAACAAAGTCAAATCTGAATCATCCACCATGAAAAGCTCGGTCCCCCAAGGTCCTGTACTTGCTCCAGTACTTTTCCTCGTCCTCATATCAGAGATGGGTAACAATACAAACTATAGTACTGTATCATCTATTGCAGATGATTCTAGAATTGTCACGAGAATAGACAATATGGAGACAAACCTCCGATCTGATGTTCATTGTCTTTCAATGGGTCGCAGAAAATAACATGATGTTATTTAACCCTTAGACCGCGCATATTGGGGCCCTGGTAGCAAAAAATATTTGAATTGTTTAGAAATAACTTAAAAATGTTAAACAAATCTCCAACTTGTTGGCTTCAGTGTTGTGAAACTTTCATCAAAATATTTTCAGAAATTGATTTTAGACAAATTTCTAAAAAATATAAATGTTTTGTTGATAAGGAAAATGGCTCCTAATCACTGGAACTGATGGATTATCCAGTAATAGAGAGATGCAAGCACCTGTTCAATGCTCAGAGAAGAAGAATAGTAGCAAGAAGTGTCCACAAAGTGGATATGCAGTTGGTGCCATTATAACATAGCTGAGTAATACATAATAACACAAATAATAATGAATAACTTTGTTATATAAAATATATAAACATTGTCCAATGTTTATATATGTTACTTTCATCAATGTACCCCCCAAATATTTTTTTTAAGATTTAGTTTTTTTTCTCCTTTGTTTAGTATCTGATTTTGTTGTAATCTTTACATCCTGGAGAGAGCATATGTTTCCATAACTATGTGAAGATAGAATGAAATTAGCCAACAAATAAATCAGTCACACCTGGCAAAACGTGACTTTTTAATTTTTTTAATTTTTTTCAGATTTTTTCTCTGATTTCAAGCTCTATTTTCTTTTTAGGTTTTGATGATTAGGGAGAATATTAAAGATTTTTCACTTATTTAAAATATCCCCTAAATATGTCTACTAAATCATTATAATTATTATAATTATCCCTATATTTTGTGTTGGGGTTATTTTTTCTTGACTTCATTTCAACACATATTGACCTACAACTTTCACATATTCGAGTACGAATGCCAAACAATGTTTATTAAAACATACAAATAAATTAACAAATTAAAACTACCTTTATTCATTGTTGATAACATCAACTTTAATTATCTCTGAAAATAGTTTAAACTTTGAGTGGCTTCTAAAATTCCAGTTTTTGACCGATTCTCACTATTTTGACATATTGTGTGCTCAGCTGTCTGTTCTACAATCCCTTCAGAATGGATTTTTCATAAACTTTATTCATTTGGAGTTAATAAAATTTTTGTCTAAATTGCCGCATATTTCAAATGCCCTATTGAGGATTTTTTTACAGTAAACTATACTGAAAACCTTTATTCTAATTTGATGAAAATGAAGATGATGTGCTATTTTGAGAGAATAATAACATTAAATGAACAATTGGTAATAGTTCACATTTTTTATTCTTGATTGAAAATCTGACGTTTTCAATATTCAATTTTAAAATTAATTTTGATTCTTGTTTTTCAAGTTATGCTGTGATCATTTAGACAAAGTTGGAGCATTTGCCTAGTTGATTATGCAAAAGAAAATTGGAAAGTGTTTGTGCAAGTGTTAAAAACTTATTTGATTTGATATAAAATAATTTAACATATGTATTGCGCAGTCTAAGGGTTAATGAGGATAAGTTCCAGTTACGGCTCTATGGAAAAGACAAAAACATCAAAGCAGAAACTACATATAAAATGCAGTCAAATCACACTATTGAAAGAAAAAGCAATGTAAAAGATTTAGGAGTAATCATATTAGAAGACTTTATTTTTAAGGAACACAACAAAGTTGCTGTCACAACTGCAAAAAAAAAATGACAGTTTGGATGACCAGAACCTTCCAAGCAAGATACCATATCAATGATACTTTTTAAGACATTAGTGCTCTCTAGTGTGGAATATTGTTGCACACTAGTAGCCCCATTCAAAGCTGGAGAAATTGCTGACCTGCATTGCATGGCAGGGAGCCGGTCGGCCGAGCGGACAGCACGCTGGACTTGTGATCCTGTGGTCCTGGGTTCGAACCCAGGCGCCGGCGAGAAACAATGGGCAGAGTTTCTTTCACCCTATGCCCCTGTTACCTAGCAGTAAAATAGGTACCTGGGTGTTAGTCAGCTGTCACGGGCTGCTTCCTGGGGGTGGAGGCCTGGTCAAGGACCGGGCCACGGGGACACTAAAAAGCCCCGAAATCATCTCAAGATAACCTGGAGAGCATGAAAAGCTCTTACACTAGAATCCCCTCAATAAAACATCTAAATTATTGGGACCCCCTAAAATTTTTAAATTGTATTCCCTAGAGTGTGGGCTGGAGAGATACATAATAATTTACACTTGGAAAATATGAAGACTGGTTCCAAATCCACACACAGAAATAACACACGAGATCAGAAGGCATGGCAGGATGTGCAAAATAGCCCCACCGAAAAGCCGAGGTGCAATAGGCTTGATTAGAGAAAACTCGGTCAACATCCAAGGTTCTACACTCTTACCATGTACATTAGGGGCATAACTGACCTCTCGGCGTTCAAAAAGAGAACTCGACATGCACATTCAAAGGATACCTGATCAACCCGGCTGCAAGCAGCTGCATTGAATAGCCTGGTTAGATAAACCAGCAACCAGAAAGCCTGGTCAGAGACAGGGCTGCAGGTACACTGATCCCTGAAATTGTCAACAGGTACACAACATGTAGGTAGATAGGCATGATTAGAATTGGCCCATTTATCACAATCTCCTGCGGAAGCCCAAATACAAGTTACCTGTATCTTGAAGTTGTGCAGAACCCCGGTTGAGAAACACTGGTGTTACTTCTTAACACAATTACATATTAGTTTTATCGGTTTAAAAATAATTACTAGTTCCTTTGTGGACTGGCATAATCTTCAGCCTTTGAAAATTGCAAGCCTATGCACCAGAAATTACTGAAGTGGAATTACTGGTACATAGGCTTGCAACTTTCAAAGAGTGAAGATTATGCCAGTCTACAAAGGAAATAGTAAAAATGTTTAGACCGATAGAACTAATACCACACATTATAAAAAAATCTTTAAAATTGTGTTATTAATAAGAAGTAACATCACGGAGCACATGGTCAGTGTCTACATAACCCTGGACAACATGGATTTGGAGCAAGACACTCTTGCCTGTCACAATTGCTAGACCACTATGACATGGCCCTAGATGCCAAGGAAAACAAGTAAAACTCATTCTCATGCTCATACTGTATTTAGAAAGCTTTTGCAAACATAACCATGGTGTTATTGCATACAGAATGCACATTAAATGAATTGCAGTAAAAGGGTGCTGGCAAAATAGGAAGATGGATCTTCAATTTCCTAGTGAACAGAACCCAAAAAATAATAGTCAACAAAGTAAAATCTAGACCATCCACAGTGAAAAGCTCAGTCCCAGACACTGTGCTTGCTACAGTACTTTCTTATTCTCACGTTGGATATTGATGAGGACACAAATGATAGTACCGTATCATCCTTTGTAGATGACATTGATTTTTATGAGTAAAAATTATAGAGGACAGCAAACCTCCAAACTGATGTAGATCAGGTCTTCCAATGGGTCACAAAAATAAAAAATAATAATAGCAAAAAAAAATAACATTATTTTGGAAGGTAGATTCTTCCCCCAATCCTATAATGTTGGCATGTCGGGTTGATTGCACCACATCGAGGTAGGTTGTGAGTTGCCACATTTCTAGGCCATTCTCACACCAAAAAAAATAAAAAAATAAAAATTGTCCAAGTTTGGGATTCTTAGAGAACTTCACTTGTTACATATATATTCATTGTGATGTCCCTCACACTGTGACACTGCTTTGTTACATACTTTATTATGGATTGTAGAGCCCCTTCCGATAATCCACTTATGAGTTAGGGCAGGCAAGTTGCAAGGGAATGTGTGTTTTAATCAGATGTTGTAAGATTAATGTTACTGACGCCTTTCATTGTCATTGCAGCGATCGATGATGGATGCTCCAGCTAAAACTATTTTTACCTTCATTGATCGTGACCTTACAGCACAAGCCAATGACAAAGATGTTACAGAAATAGCTCTTGCCGAACTTTATGCATATGTTCAGTCACTGCCAGAGTCTGCAAAAAAACGTAAATTAATTAAACAATTTAACTGTGGCACTGGTTTGGGAACCCCACAGGCCAATCAGAGCTTCATCAAGAAGCAAGAGGCTCGGGGCAAAAGGTTAGGAGACTCAATCAAGGTAAGTTGGCAGCAGCAGTAGCATTCTTGTTCATGTCCTGGATCTTGGTGTTCTCTCCTGTTCTCACTTTTTCTTGTTTAATTGCACATTAAGCTTATATTTGGATAAAAGTCTTGAATGCTGGTGCAGATCCTGGTGAAAACTAAATAAGAATATTGCCTATTTAGCAAGATACATTTGTACAGATGTACATAGTTTGTTTAGTTATTTATTATGCACCCCATACCCATCTTGTGGGCGGTAGTGGAAAGGGTTACAGAGGCACATAATGGGCTCGGGGACTGAACCCCACAATTCATTTAGCTAAGCAAGTTACAATCTTGATGAGCTCGTTACAAAATTCAAGAGCAAAATAGCAGGAGCAAAGATTGAAAGTGTCAAAATCTTGAAAGGATTGAAGTGAAATAGACCATGATGGTCAATTTTAGGATTTATAAGAGTAACAATAATATCTGAGAAGATGGTGGAGTATTATGTGACAATACGTGGAGGAGTAGTTATGTGATGAAAAGTTGCTGAGAATGCCATGAAAGTAGCATAAGAATACAAAGAAAAGGTTTATCATGTGAGGTCCATGAATCAAAAAATTAGTAGAGAATTTATTATATGCATAGATTTCACTTGAATTTTTCGACCATAGGAAGTTTTTATTTAAGATAAGGATGAGCGAGATATTTTGACAAATGTACTATAACTATTATTATCTGGATTCCTCATGACTACAAACATTTCAGTAATATACAGTATCGTAATGTGTAAAGAAGTGATCAGGCTAAAAAGAGATGGAGAACGTCTTCACAGCAAGCAACAAGAAAGCCTTTGCAGGACTTCCCAAGATATTTCATGTAGACTTTTAAGATTGAACGAGAGTGAAAACCTGTTTTGGGTGACGTAAAAACTACAATGAGTGACATTGTACTGTAGTTACTAAGAGTTGAGTAAAGCAGCATATGATGGGTTGTTAGCAAGGTAGTACAGCCAGACAAGATATCACCATGGCTACTGAGGCCGTAGGAATACAGTATAATTCAGAGAGAGTTGGTAATGCAAAGTCAGACAAATAGCAGATCCCCAAAATTTTAAGGATTTCGAACACTGAATGTCGATGTTCAGGAAAGAAAATTTACTATGAGGGAATGAGATCTAGTTTTCCCTGGATGGAGTCCCTTGGTGGCTACCTCAAGCTGTCTTGCCGAGTGTTCCCACTACTGTATCGCATCAGTTGCAGGACCTTTTGGCCTACTGGGAATGAGAGCCAGATCCTGGAGACACTCGTCAGGAAAGCATCCATAAAGTAAGTGGAGATTTACAAACAATTGCAAGATTCATTGAAAACAAAGTAATGAAACTGCCAACAACTCAACACACCATGTAGACAAAGCAAGCAAACACCAGCATAGACCCATTAGTACTGATGGCTGTCACTGTGACCTGGAGCTCCTGTCCACAGCCAACTTGAGGTCAGACCTGCTGATGTGGCATAAACACCACATACTCTACTTTGTTTTTCGGGTCATCAAGAAGTTGCCGCGGGTCTTGCTGCTGTCAAACTAAATGCCAGCTGTCCTTGGACTTTGTCCTGTGGGGACCATTTGCTTATGTTTTCTTCTTTTGGTATTTGTTTCATATGCACATTATACTTCCTGGCTTGTATGAACATGGCTTCTTTTATGCTTCAAGCTCAATGAGCTCAGGGTTCACCACCCTGGGTGCTTGTTTAGCACAGCCCACGCACTGGCAGTTACTTACTTGGTGTGTTCGGGTGTTCTTCTCTTCAAAATCTGACCACTGGGATGGGGTGCCTCTCCTCAGGCTGTACACGAGTCCTAGCCACCTCTGTTTAGGCCCTGGGCTAGGGGTATTCCGACTGGTTGTTAATAGGGTGTGCTATGGTACATGCACACTTAGTTTAAATGGCATGCCATAGACACCCTTCGTAGCTGTGTGATTGCTGGATGCTTTTGGTGTCTGCTCTTCCATAGTGTCCTGTCTTAGCTTACCACCTTCAGGCCCCTGGTAATTCCCCAGCAGGTCTACTGCATGGCCCATGATGGATTGACCCCATTGAAACTGTGAGGGCCAACCGCAAGCATCTGGCTTCCAACCTCAGACAGACAAAAACTGTTTTCTAGATATAAATCGTGAGTCCCTTGAACAACATTTCCCGGTTTAGTTATTGTTTCACACCATGATTCCTGCATACCATTGATTCATTTTTATCATGATTCTTTCACTATGGTACATAGTTATCTGGATTCTTTCTCTAGGATTTCTTCACACATGACTGTCATTTATTGGTAAGGTGTCCATATAGCCAATGTCAGAAAATCATTCAACGATTCATGATTTATTGCTGTAAGAGTGAAGTTTCATATGAACAAGTAATGGCACCACTGTCACACTTATATACTACCCCAGGGAGACTGTTAAAATCATTATCAACACTATAAATATTGACATGAGTAAAGTGATTACTTTATATTAAAGAGGTAAACAAACAGAGTAAATGATTTTACTGTGCTTTACATGGTAAACCAACAAAGCTATGGAATGGAATGGAATGGAATGGAATGAAAGATTTATTTGAGTGATCAAATTTTGCAAATATTTTAAAGTTTGGCATCAGTAATATAAAAGTATGGAAGACCAGATGGCATAAGAGATCCTTGGGAAGGATGAAGGAAAGGGCAACAGCACTACTACTACGTATTTAGTAGTAATAGCTAGTTGACCAACCGGTCTCGTTGTGCGTGGACATAGGCGTTCCAGAGTTGGCAATAGTGTTTGGCCTTGGTCATGTAGCTCAATGCTACAGTGGGGGGGGGAATAAAAGGGGCAACAGTTTTCCTAGTAATACTGTACTACTTTTGCCCTTATCTTGTGTTAATTCCTTGGTAACAGTTATACTGTATATAAAATTGAGGAAGACGAAGTCAGTTATTGATGGTGATACTGTGATTAAGTTATTTTTGTCTGTATTATACATATTTACTTAGAGTAACAGTATTCATTAGATGCTACTGCCTAATTCAAGAAATGACTTGAGGGCAGCTGTACCAGCACCATGTGTGTGTGTCACTATTTGGAAGTGTCCTAAGAAACACTGGTCTTGAAAGTGGGTGTAAATGATGAGTAATGTTGAAGTGGTGTAGTACCATACAAAGCAACCTTGATCAAACTGTGTGTCAGGACGGAACACTCGGTGAAACCAAATAAATACCTAATGGCACAAATCTTGATGTAATACAATAGCTGCGTTGTTTAGATGTTTAATGCTTAAATTGACTAATAATTGTATGATTAGTGTTTGTGTATGTGACATTATCTGTTGATGAACACTACTGTCCTGCTACGGTTGTGCGGTGTGATATCTCCTTACTCGATTGTTTTCATCCATTTTGCTTTTCATTTTTCATTATTTGTGAGAAGAAAAAGACGTCTTATCGACAATGTTAGGTTAGAGCAGACAGGGTTCAAGACAATTTCTGTATATGGAAGAAAAACCTATATTTGATTACTTGAATGACAAGTATGATTACAGTACTACCAAGACATTTAAGAGATTGAAAATGGCAGGTGGTATTTTAGGATGGCTATCACATTCAAGGCTTTTCATCATGTTTCTCATCGGCTATGCTATTTAATTCCCTTAATCCAATCTTGTGTAAATCCAATAATGCAATCTTACAGTATGTGCTTTAATTTAGTGCATTTTCATTTTTATTTCGGCACTAAAGCATGCCTCTCTAACACCCATTGTGCATGTGTTAATCTGCAAATTAAAATACTGTTTTGCCTGTCCAGAGCTTTTTTTTTTTAATGTGCATAATAACTCAATAATCCAGAATGCTTACTCATTTCTCTTGGAGCCAAATTATGTTAATGAGTGGTTATTCTCTCTTAAAAAGTTTGAGATCAAATAGGTTTATCTTCATAACCTGTTTCAGAAACATCTATTCCACAAGACAGTGAAATCTTCAAAGAGTAAATCGCAGCCTTTTGCTTCTTCTGACAGCACCAAAGTTAAGCGTTCCAACAGTCAAGATTTACTTAGTGTGAGTTGATACTTTGTGTAATGAGAGCCTATTCAACTTCAAAGTTATATTTAACATTACAAAAAAAATATAAAAATAAAAATTGTGCACACTATATATATATATATATATATATATATGTCGTACCTAGTAGCCAGAACGCACTTCTCAGCCAACTATACAAGGCCCGATTTGCCTAATAAGCCAAGTTTTCCTGAATTAATATATTTTCACTAATTTTTTTCTTATGAAATGATAAAGCTACCCATTTCATTATGTATGAGGTCAATTTTTTTTTATTGGAGTTAAAATTAACGTAGATATATGACCGAACCTAACCAACCCTACCTAACCTAACCTAACCTATCTTTATAGGTTAGGTTTGGTTAGGTAGCCCAAAAAGGTAGGTTAGGTTAGGTTAGGTAGGTTAGGTAGTCGAAAAACAATTAATTCATGAAAACTTGGCTTATTAGGCAAATCGGGCCTTGCATAGTAGGCTGAAAAGTGAGTTCTGGCTACTAGGTACGACATATATATATATATATATATATATATATATATATATATATGTCGTACCTAATAGCCAGAACGCACTTCTCAGCCTACTATTCAAGGCGCGATTTGCCTAATAAGCCAAGTTTTCATGAATTAATGTTTTTTCGTCTACCTAACCAACCTAACCTAACCTAACCTAGCTTTTTTTGGCTACCTAACCTAACCTTACCTATAAATATAGGTTAGGTTAGGTTAGGTAGGGTTGGTTAGGTTCGGTCATATATCTACGTTAATTTTAACTCCAATAAAAAAAAATTGACCTCATACATAGAGAAAAGGGTTGCTTTATCATTTCATAAGAAAAAAATTATAGTAAATATATTAATTCAGGAAAACTTGGCTTATTAGGCAAATCGGGCCTTGAATAGTAGGCTGAGAAGTGAGTTCTGGCTACTAGGTACGACATATATATATATATATATATATATATATATATATATATATATATATATATATATATATATATATATATATATATATAATGTGTGTATGTGCTATACATGTATACATACATACATACACACTATATATATATATATATATATATATATATATATATATATATATATATATATATATATATATATATATATATATATATATATATATATAATATAAATGGAAGCTTTAGCTATTATTGAAATTGCTTATATATTTTTATATTGTAGATACTTTGCATGTATCACTGCCTCAGTGATCTGATTTTTACTGTTATTTTGCTGCGTCGCATTACAGAGTCCTTCTGCCAGATCCCCTGAGCTGCGTATGTACCGTCGTAATACTGAGCTTGGCACACGGAGTCGTTTAAAAGCAAAATCTCTTGATGATTTATCATGTAGCGACGACCTTTCCTCGGACACCACCTCTTCTCCATACTCGTCTTCCTTTATTCACACAATATTTCACACAAAATGCCATTTCCGTCAGAATGGAAAGCATCCCTTCCCCATTTCCCTGCCATCACTTGGTATTAATGCATGTCTTGGTTCATCATCGTCGGATCAAGGCTCCTGTACTGATCCTTTGTCCCCTCTGCCCCTCTTGTCTTTTTCCCCGGATTCGAGTTGTGATACTCTGGAAGCTCTCACAGAGGTCAACTCCAGTCAGTCCGTCCTCAGCACCAGAACGGAAAAATTTCCCCAATCTGCTTTCAACTTTGCCTCAACAGCACTGGAGGAAGTTAAAGAAAATGCTCTCCCTTGGGATAGCATGTTGGCCTCTACTCCTGCTGGCTCCCAGCTGCAGGTGCACTCCCCCATTTCTCAGGCTATGATAAGAGCCAGCATACCTCAGGTACTGACTACCCTGTCACTTTTACCACTTAACATGCATCCAAAACCCATACTGGTACAGCTGGAAGAGCAATCGAGTGATACTCATGCCTTGTGCAACTTTTTTTTTTGCTTGCTAATGATGGCTTTGCACATCTAATTCTTTATTAATTTTTATCAGATTATGCACAGTACTGCTAAAAATTTTGATGTGATAATTAAGTAACTTTATATTCATATAAATGCAGTTGCTGAAATACTGTAATGTATATATAGTATATACAGTATAATTATAATGACATACTGGTATATTACATTGGGTTTAAGTCAATACTAGTATTGTTGAAACACATTTTTTTTAGATTAAACAATGTGTGCCTAACAGCTTTTCAGTCCATGATGCATGCAGATTAACAAATTTATAATATAAATACTGTATAAGCTAATCTATTATTTCTGCATCACTTAATTTTCAGAAGGTGATAATGACTCCACGTAGCCGTTGTCCAATCATCATCAACTCTGCGTCCAATTTATCTCAAGTTGCCGAGGAAAGCTTGCACCTGCATGCTTCCAGAAGCGTGAACAAAGAGGAGAGTGATGATGCAAGTAATGTAGACATGCACTGCTCCCCTGTTATTGGTAACCCAACGGCCCAGCTCACATCCCCACCAAAGTCTGTCCAGTCACCAGCTGACTCTACAAACCTCAATTTGATTTCTTCTGATCATGATAAAAATGATACTGATGATGACTTGGAAAGGGAAACAAGCGAGAAGAAATCCCAAAGCACTTCACATGATTGTAAGAAGGAAGAGAGAGAGAGTAAACTTAGCAGCAGATGGGGCTCAACTTCCCTACGTCGAACACTAAGTTCAGCCAGCTCAACTAGCTCGCTCTTTGGTGGTTTTTTCCGCCATTTGAGCACGTCTTCCCTGGCTCAGTTAGCTACAAGACTGACATCATCTTCTACACGTCAGCATCCTGAGATGGATGAAAATACAGATATTGAGAATGGGTCAATGTCGGAGGACGACGACGTTATGAATGAATCGTTAACTAGTGTTTTCAAGGAATATCTTTTAAGTCGCAGCATACTTACAGACAATCCAGTTGATTTATCTTTACATTTAGAAGATGAGGAAACCAAAGAAGCTGAAATGGAGAAAGGTACTTTTTTACTAGATAAAAATACTGATGAACACAATGAAGCTTACCAATTTTGTGATTCTGCATATGGGGACTCTCAGCCTCCAAGTAAATGTGTGTCTCGGCAGTGCTCAAAGGCTTCTTTAAGATCTCTAGACTCTGCTGTTGGTCTCTCTGACTCTCTCTTATACTGCCTGAATGGAAATGATCCATTATCTGCCTCTGGTTCAGTAGGAAGGAATAGCTGCAATAGTTCTCGAACCAGAATACTTGAAGAAAATTCAGAACCTCTAGCTCAGAATTCATTCTTACAAGATAGAGCTGAGAACAAAAATTTGTTAGAGCTCCATTCGTGTTCACCAGACAGCCGATGTCAGTCTCTTCTTAAAACCAAGCAAGGCACTCCAGTACCACAAAGAGACAAAGAACTTTCAGAGAGTGCAAACAGTGCTAAAGTGCTTTTTGAAACCTCTTTTTAATATTAATGATAACTTAAAATAATTTGTTTTTATCCACTTGGAACAAAAAATATCAATACTAGATTTGATTTTTTAAATTCCACCCAAGACGGATTTGACAAACCCAAGCACTGGCCTGGCCTGGTGATAGTGTGGGGCCAAGCACTGACCTGGCCTGGTGACTGTGTGTGTGTGTTCTGCAGCAAATAATGCATCACCAAAGCTGTCTGAGCAAAGGCACTCATGCGTGCTGCTTGGGTTGAGCACTGCTTGGTGCAGTCTTGCAGCCTCTTTTGCTGTTTCATACATTTATATATCTGTTATGATCTCTTGTTTCCTATGGTAACTCCTTCTGGGAGTGTCCTCAGGTAGAATACTTTGAATTACTTCTACTTCCTTTTAAATGTTAAATGAAATATTTAATAAGAATTTACATGTATCATTTTGATGTCTTGAAAACAACATATGGAAATACTTAAGGTCGCTTCAACAAATGTACAAATGTAATATTAAAAAAAATTATAGTAGTTCAGTACTGTATGTGGAAAAAAGATCTGATACTAAGAAGCAGTTGCTTCGGCCTCTATACTGTGTGTCAGTTTTCTAAATTTCTATTTTTAGTTTAGTCAGTGACAAGATCCTTTTTGTTATTGTGTGTGCTTGTTGAGGTAACCATCAGCCTTCCCATGTATTGTAACGTTTCAGATTAAGTTGGTTGCTTTAATAATAACAATGTATATAAACATAAGTGAAGCAAGCTTGTGTTTATATAGATTGTTTGGACACAAGCCAACTGACACTACAGTACAGTGTAATATAAGCTTAATATACTATACAGTGTTAACTTATAAAGTAGTGTCTCGTGCACAACAATGAAATCTGCAGTGCCAAAAATTAACAGAATGGAGAAGCCAAATGACAATGACCTGTGTGTGGTTTATCTTAAATATTGTCAACAATGGTCACCTTAATTTCTAATTTATTCTGTTAATGATGTTGACAATGGTTCTTCATGAGGTACCATTTTATGAATAATTCCATTTATCATTTTATCATAGACACAGATGAGAAGTTTAACATTCAGACAATGATGATAGCTGGGAAAATTCACTGCTGGTCTTAATCAGTTAATAGAGGTGTGGTCTAAAGTTGACCCTTACTGTGAACTGTATTGGGGTATTACACAATGTGTGTATTATTCTCTAACTTCAGGAATAATTGTACAGAAAGAGTGTTTTAGATTTATTGGATCATTACATAACATTTATGGTGTTAGAACAGCATAAATAGGTACTTTAAGGAATTGATAAATGCAATATTTTACTGTGTACATAGGAAAGATTTTTTTTACTTCTGATTTATTTAGATTTATTTATATAATAATTCCCATAAGTGCAAATATATTTTGTGGACGTGTACTGAAAGGCCTCTATTATGTTTGAAAATTATTCCCCTTGTTTCATCGGCAGTGTGCTGCTCCTGCGGTCTCACTTGGACCATATTGTCACATATACTCTTCATGTTTTTACACATTGTCGATGCTTAATACAATGTGATGAACATTGGTTTTTCTTTGTTACAAAAAATTCTTCTTTGAGGCAATACACTTTTTGGGGGTAAATTGATTTGTTAATTATTTTATAGTGTGTATAAAGCAGTGCATGTAGTTTACCAAGTGCCTTATCAGTATTCATTGCTAACATGAAACTTCATTTATTCTCACGAATTATTAATGTTGCATTTATCCCTAAATCATGTACAATATACATGCAGTAAACTTTCTCTAGCTTCAAGAGTTTCATTTGTATGCAACTTGGTAGCAATGCTTGGTTTCCTCTTCCTGTCATTATCTTGTAACTTGCCCTTTATATTTAGGTTCCTAGTACTGCTGTATTTTTAAAATATGTACAGGTTTCAAAATTCTGAAATCTGCTACAAATTGTGGGTATTGAAACTGGGTCTCTTGAATGAAAGGAAAAGCCACTTCCTTTTGATATCATTTGCCAAGTCATTCCATATTTTTTCATTTTACAACCTGGGGAACTTACCTCGATTAAGTTGGCTGGAAATGATAATGTTGTCATGCAGAGTAAGGACTTGCTTGTCCTACTTACCACGGAGTGGAAGTGTCTTGAGCAGTAAACCAACAAGGTTGTTGTTCCTTGATTAGTGTGGAAACTCATGATGTGCCATTCAGAGATCTGGGTTCTATCCTTGCAAATCTTTGACCATTTCACTGTTCTAACATTTAATTTTCAAATTTCTCTAAGTATTATGCATATTGCCAAAGATAATATTCATTCAGTTTATTCTTTATCCATTTTAAAGCTGTTTATTTAGGTGTAGAAAAATGCCTCTTTCAGAGACGAACCTCTTAGTACTGGCCTTGGAAAGCCACCATCTTGCCAGGCATCTAAGGCTCTCTCTCATTCTACTGGGTGCAGGGACCTTGAGGGAAAGAGGGAAGCTGAGAGTCACAAGATGCCTCTCACTGAGGGGAAACCCCCTGCTAAAATTTAAGATTGTCATGTAAACTTGTACTCTTAGAGAAATGTTTATGAATAAATTTAAAAAAAGTAGCAAACACCACTCGGCTGCTTCACTCCTGCCACCAGATGGCAGTGTTAATTAACCAGGGTCCGTCACCGACCTGCTTTACTCCAACATCCAAGTGGTTGGATTTTCTTAAATTATTGAGTAATAAGTTTTGTGTGTACATGCAAGTCGTTTGTGTGGGTCATGGACTTTAAGCCCGTTTCAGGGATTTCTTCCCTAGCATGCTGTTTAGCAAAGATTGTCTGCAAACTGAATTAACTTAAGATGATTTCTCTGTAGGGTGGACTCCTCCAGTGTCTTTCCTTATTTTGTGTTGTGCCTTGGGATTTGGTCACCAGGCAAGACCTTTAGAAGAGTGGTATTACTAGTTTTAATATGGCCCTTCAGGTCATGCTCATGGCCAGGTTGCACTTGGGGAGTGGCATTTAGCATAGTGTGATTTTGTTGCGACATCAGTTTTGAGTACCTGGAGCATACTGGGAGAGGGTTCTGGAAATTCAGCTTCCCGACCCTGGCCCGAGGCCAGGTTCGACTTGAAATAATTTAGTCCAACTGGCTGTTGCTTGGAGTGGCCCTCAGATCCACTACAGTCTTGTTGGTCTGGCACTTCTTGCAAGAACTTGTCTAAGTGCCTCTTGAATACATCCACCTTTGGTCCAGCAATATTTCTAATGCTTGCTGTGAGGGGTGTTGAACAGCTGTGGACCTCTGATGTTCAGACAGTGTTCTCTGAATGTGCCCATGACACCTCTACTCTTCATTCTGCATTTCCTTCCATGTCTTTCACTCCAGTATGTTATTCTACTGTGCAAATTTGGGACCTGGCCTTCAAGTATCTTCCATATGTATATTATTTTATACCTTTCTAGTCTCCTTTCCAAAGAGTACATTTTGAGTCCCAATAATTTAGACATGTTATCATTTCTATGCATGCCGTATGTTCTCTGTATTCCCTCTAATTCAGAGATTTCTCCTGCTCTGAAAGGGTAAAAGTGAGTACTGGGCAATACTCAAGACAGGACAGCACCAGTGATTTAAATAGTATTAGCATTGCTGTTGGGTCTCTGGATTTGAATGTAATCATAATCTATCCTATCATTTTCCTGGCCTCTGCTATATTTGCTCAGTTATACGGTATTCACTGTCAGGTCATCAGATATCATAATTCCCAGATCTTTTACATATTGCTTTCCTCCTATGAGTAGGTCTGATTGTGTCTTGTCCCTTGTGTTTGGTTTAAGTTCCTCGTTTCCACCATGCCTAACTACCTGGAACATGTCACCTTAAACAATGTTATTTTCAGTTGCCCAATTCAAGACTTTATTAATATCTGCCTGTGGTTTTTCAGTCTTCTGCAGAGGAAATTTTCATGCCGACTTTTGTATCTGCAAAGGATGACACGAATCTGTGACTAGTATTTTTGTCTATATCCATAATGAGAATGAGAAATGGCAACGGTGCGAAGACTGTGCCCAGGGGTACAGAACTTTTCACTGCACTTGGACTTGATCTTGGTTCTCTATTTGAGGGGAAAAGTTTGGATGTGTTTCTAGAAATGTACATTCTCAATGTCTTTTGTTCTACTAAATTCGAGTGAGAACTTTGGCATCGTGTACCATAAGCTGGAATGCTTATAGTGAGAGGCATTTGTTCTCATTTTGTCATGACGTGTGCTGTATTTTTTTTGGGGGGGGGGGGGGGCTCTGTACTCCCAACCTGCATTGACAGGGCAGGTTGGGAGCTTGTTAGCTAATGTGTCTGCTTTAACTTTTGCCTATTGCATTTGAAGGTAAGATTTGCATGGCATGCTTTGATCAACTGTCCCACATTTGAATGGTGGTTCAGAAAGGTCACCTCAGTGCTATCCATGACAGTTCAGTTCCCTGTGGATACCAGCAGAGTAGATGCCATTCTCAGGGATGACTTTTTCCATTTTCCTCTATAGCACATGGGTCAGCAGACAGCATTTTAATTACCTGTACTCTCCTAATTGTACTGGTTTAATTGGGCTTGATGTTGAGCTTCAACTATTTGGTCCTGCCTTTCAGCTTTCAATCAACTGGTGTACTGGTTCCTGATCCTATTAGGCTCTTTTCATACCTACATTTAAATACGAGTCTACCTCTAGCACCTCATTTCTTGGTGAATTTCATTTGTTCACTAGAATTTTGTTAGTGTCAGTGTGGCTCATTTGGGTACTCAATTCTTGTGCATTGAGCCTATCATCAGGGTTCTTTTTGGGATAGTTTCATCTATTGAGACTGCCATCTGCCACCCTACCTTTCTTTGCATGCCACATAAGGTTTGGCTTTGGTTGAGCCAATCTTTGTTGTCATTATTCTGATCTTTTCTTCAACTCCATTTACTATGTTTGGGCACTGTTTCTTTAAGCCACTCGAGTCTAATAGGCACTTGCTTGCTAGTCTTCTCAATAGTTTGCAATCACCATTGGCAATACAGTAGCTGTTCCATCTCCATCTGGTTTGCTCTTGCATTGGGCAGAGGCCTCCCTTCCATCTTTATACAACTTGTTCTTTTGGTCCAATGGGTTGGGTTTGGTGGTAATCTTTTGTTGGGTTCCCAGCCATATTGGTGTGTCTTTAAATGAGCGTGCGGATGCTGCTGCCAAGGACGCTGTCCGCTCTTGTCCCATCTCTCGCAAAGGCATTCCGTATTCCGACTTTTACCCGGTTATCCATTCCTCAGTCCTTACCCGTTGGCAGGCTTCTTGGTTGTCTGTTACTGGTAACAAGCTACGTACTCTTAAATGTTGTGTTTCCTCGTGGCCGTCCTCCTTCCACTGTAACCGGCGGTGGGAAATAGCTCTGGCGAGGTTGCGTATTGGCCATACTCGCTTAACCCATGGTCACTTGATGGAGCGCCGCCCTGCTCCTTATTGTCCTAGTTGCATTGTCCCTCTTACGGTCGTGCATGTCCTTCTTGAATGTCCTGACTTCCAGGACGAGCGTGTGTCTTGCTTTCCGACCGCCTCTCGCGGTCACCTGTCCCTCGATAGAATTCTTGGTGACTCGGATACTTTTGATATCGTTCGCCTTATGCGTTTTTGTTCTCGTATTGGCATCCTTGGTGATATTTAGCGCCCTCTGATTATTTTGCGTATTTGATGGTGCTACATAGCCTTCCCGGTTTGGTGCCTTCTTTTGATAATTACTTACTTACTTGGTGGTAATCTTGAGATGATTTCGGGGCTTTGTGTTCCCGTGGCCCGGCCCTCGACCAGGCTTCCTGTTTTGTTACACACCCTCAGGAAGCAGCCCATAGCAGCTAACTCCTAGGTACCTATTTACTGCTAGATGAACAGGGACATCAGGGTGAAAAAACTGCCCATATGTTTCCACCTCCACCAGGGATCAAACCCAGAACTTCAGGACTACGAATCTCAAGCGCTGTCCACTCAGCTGTCAGGCCCCTAAGTGGATGCCTTTTCCTCCTTTTCTGAGTGTGGTTCTTTCTCAAATAATGCATGCCCAAAGCTGCAGAGTAACTTGCACACTATATTAAGTACAATTAGTATTATCTCAGGTTGGAGTGCCGTCATGTTGGGTGTCCTTAGATATTTGTTTGGCGTCTAGATATGGTGTGTTCTATCATACGATGTCTAGCTATGCTACGAGATAAGGGAAGCCTTTTTCATCTTGTGTTTAACCATGGGTGATCACTGCTATCTTGGAAGGTTAAGAAGTGGTATAGGAAGTGACCAACAACCAGGAGTGAGGTCATCCTCTCCTCTCATATCCAGGCTAGAAAGAGTGCCATCTCTACACTTTCCAGAGACATCATGTGAACTCTGGGGAGGACCAATCAGGTGATAGGCCAATGAAGAAAAAATTTTGATTGGTGCATCCATATAGAGGTTCAGTGAAGCAAACAAGTGATGGTTAAGCTTTGTAAACTAGCAGTCTTATTTGCTCCTTGTCTTTGCTAGATATCTTTCTCCTCGCCCAACTTAGGAATCATATGGTCAAGCAGTACTGACTGCACCGAGTTGTCGACGCAATAATACAATAATCCGTTTTGTGGTACCAAGACCAGCGGCAATTGAGACGAGATTATTGCAGTGTTTGTGATCATGGCAACAAGTGTGTGAATGTCCGCTGGTGTGAACTGACATTAATACATACTATTTAAATTTTTGAAATAACTGGTTTGCATTCGCAGCAACTTACTTCGTAGCCCAGTTTGATTTAGATGCAAACTTCTGCAACAGGTGTGTGGTGGTATCTATAAGACTTAAGAGACTAGTTCAAGGTTTGTGTGTCAATTGCTGCTAAAGAGAGTGAGCATGTACAAGTGATTATTCTACACATGTAGATTATATTATGCATGCAAACTGATGTCCAGAGTATCCCCTATTGAAACTCCTGTAAAACCTTTGAAACTGTGGCAGTGATAAGAAGTCTTACAGTGAAGCATGCTACATATAATTGCAGTGGTATAGGAAGTGACCAACTGCAAGTGATAGGATACTGCATTAGGTTTAAGTATTCATCCGCAGGGCGAGTACAGATCACTTGTCTGCTTACCTTTATGTATGATGCTTTGCAGAGTAAAGAGGAATCCCAAACTATGTACAGTATTTAGGATTAAGCATAATAAATTAGTTACTTTAATTACACATGATTGTATCTGTGAGCCCTTCTCCATCATATAAAATCTGTCTTGCCCATCAAGGGAACCATACTCGTGCTAGCACTACATTAATAAAATATTGATGTGAACAAAGTCTAATTCCCTAACAGGTCGAGTTACACAACCAATAATCCTGCAAATTCACATGAATTCTGCATTTGTTGCTCTAAACACACTACTCGCAGGATAACCCCCGTGAAATGTGCTGTATTGCAAGCAGGAAAAGTAATTTTGGACCATTCCCAAGCATTCCTCTGCTTCTTTTCTACATAGCTCTTTCATTTTTGTGGGCTGGATGTGGGAATGGACATATTCTTCATCAAGTAGCTTGTGTAGGTAATTCGTACTTCCTACAAGTTTTTTTTTTTTTTTTGCCCTGTCCATTTTTCCTTTAGTTTTTATGTAGTACCGAGATAAATGTAGTTTTAATGTGGTACAATAAAAAGTATTGTACTAGTTTTGTGTGGTTTGCCGAGACAGTTTTTATTGACTAGCCCTTTCTGGTACTCTCCATACCCCACCCACTTCCATGGCAGATGCCTCCCAATTTCTCATTCATGACTGACTACACCTCTGTTACAATTGCACCTTTAACTAACCTTTTACCAGCATATCATTCCTAGGTTACCCACTCGATCCTGCACTACTCGACCTGCTGCTCCTAATTTCTATAATCTGTTTGGTTTACCCATGTGTCTGGAAACAAAATATTTTGATGTTCTTAATAACCCTACTGCCCCTGGTGCTGGCACCTGGTAGGCAGGGGGGAGGGGGGTGCACCTCTAAGGCTCCTCACATAAAACAAACAAGGCATGAAATGTGATAACTGATGACTTGCTAAATGTCTCCAACACATGACATCTGGCTCAATCTATATCACAGAACAGTATTTTCAGTCAAATAGGTTAATTGTGGACAAGATTCAGAAGAGGAAATAGATGTGAAAAGCTTTTATGTATTTTTATACACTAAAATTTTAAGTAAAGTTTGACAGTGGAAATACAAATACGGTACTAACAAAATATATCTCAATTTGGTGAACTTGCCGAACAATACTGAACATACATTTTATACTTGAGCTAGTTATCTATTACAGGTATACAGTGCATGAACATTTATTTATTATCTCAGTCAGCATATTATTTTCCCTTTACAAAGCATCAAAAACTTGCTACAGGTAAATTTGCTCTACAATTATGAAAAGAGCAGTTTACGACTGGTATATAACACCAGCTGCTGTCTATGAAACACCAGTTATGTATACAGGCTTGTAGGGGGTTGGGGGGGTTGAGAAGCTTCGTCGATGCAGATTGAAACAATGTGTCTCCCGGGAATCATCGCTAACCCCAAAACTCTTGGCTCCTCCTCTCGTCCATCCTCTAAAATAAATTAATAATTTGTGTATGTTACTATGAGCTGCAATATAAATTAAAAATGCTTTCCCAGACTGGTGGGTGTGGGTCACCTGTGGAAGCACTACCATGAGAACTGCACTTCCCCAATGATGGTTCTTGGGCTGCAGCACACTCATGCCAACTGCTGCTTCCCATTTTTTCTGCACTTACAATAAATACTTTTCACCATAATATTTGCACTAATTTTTTTCTTGTGCCTTTCCATCTTTCTCTGGTCCCCCCCTCCATATATATTACCCATAATATGCTCCACAGAGCAATCCTTTCTCTTATTTCCCAGAGGAAGCAAGTGACAACTGCTTGTGGGAATCAACTTTTGAATATATAATTTGGTGCATGTTTTAAGTATTCCTTTTGACGTCTGATGTACATAAAGACACTTGAAATGCCTGGACAAAATTCTAAATACCATGTCCCTGTAAATCTCGGGTTCCCAAAAAATGTAAAGCGTAGAAATAAGAATCGGTGCATTTTGTAATGTGAAATAATTTTATCAAATTTACATCGACAGCCTCCAATATATAAACGGCTAACTAAAGCCAATATATAATATGGAGGTACCTGACTGGGATTCCAAAAATAGGCTTTGAGAGTACAGTATATGAAGAATGTATGAGAAGACTCACTGGGGTCCCCCATGGTAAGATCTCTCGTCATGATGGAGAGGAGGGGCAAGGGGCAGCAAATCATACACCCAGGCAGACCAATATTTGAGATTCTAGTATAAAAGGAAAACATACTGTACTTAGCCACTGGAACAAAATACACTTTGGCTTTTGTATTGGAACCCAGCACCATAATCACATTGTGCAGCAGGCTGCAGCACCAAATCCAGGGATTACTGTAGGCTCCAGCAATGAAGATCAAGTGTTCTGTGGTCTGCACCAAACTGAGCATCTTGTGGGTTTCAGTACCAAAGGCTCAGTGTAATGTGGTGCCAGAGTCCACACTATACTCTGCATTTGGTGCCAATGTACACAGTACACACTACATCTGGTTCTAGAACCCAAATAGTGAGCACACGGTGAGCAGCAAAACACGCTGCTGAGTGTACTCTAGATTTCCAGCACCATGGTACGCTTTGCTTTTCGTATTCGAGTCGTTAGTAAACTCTATATTTGACACTGAAACCCATACTATCTCCACCTTTGGTGCTGGAGCTCACAGTACACACTTCTAGTGCTGGAGTTCATAGGCCGAGTATGCTGTAGGCTCCAACACGTAATATTGTACTGTATCATGACCTGAAACATTTTACCCATCCTCACGCCTGTATGCAGGCGTGAGGATATGTACGTATATTATTACTACTGTATTATCATCATCAATAATGTTATTGCCTAGTTACTACTGGGAACTCTCCATCATTCACTGGATAGCCAAATGTATATTCTTCCTCAGAACTCTTCTTTAAAAAGATCAGAAATAACACATACAAGAAGCAATGTGCTTCAAAGCCTAACAAGCCACAATGTAGGACAAAATGGGAGATACTTTTCACCCACAGGGTTATAAACCCATAGAACTGCCTACCCGCTGGAGCCATAAATGCCAAGACATTACTACAATTTAAGATCCAGCTGGACAGATTCCGGTCAAATGGAGAGACCTTCAGCAAGCCACCAGCTTCCAGCTCTTGTTGAAGCCACTAGTGAGGTGGCCTTTGGGTAAATTCAGGTAAATATCCACTCCCCCCTCAAGATTTAAACACTAAAAGAGAATGCTTACATCAACTTTTGCAGAAGTTTTCACTGTGTTAGATTTAGTTATCACATACTGTATGTAAAGCAGTAACCACCAACTACTTTCACATAGAAAAGACTGAGAATGAATGAAGACTCCCATCACCGGTATATATGAGAGTGGATGAAGAAATGGACAGTCTACACAAGTTACTGAAAGGGCATTGCAGGACCTCAAGGGATGTTGCAGCACAGAGACAACCAAGAAAAAGTCAAATGAAATAAAAGGGAAATATGTTTCCTATGGTAGTGCTTCCTTGGGTGACAGAAGCCAACCTATCCACCGTGTTATTCTATAAAAGCAAAATCATTCAATTTTTGCATTTTCTTTGTTGTATAGTGAGAGAATAGAAATATTTATTACACAGTAAACCCTTGCATTATCACCAGGCTCCTGTAACCTTCACAAAGCTGACAATATCACATCTGATTTACAACATTACCTTACAGGAAACATTTGGAAGTATCACAGATCCCTAATACTGGGGAACACTTTTGTTTCACTACTCATGCATTTATATTCTTCTGCAATAACATGACGTTTTTTGTAATGAGAAACATTACTGTAATAGAAATGATAAATTTATAAATTAACAAACTGTGTCTTGTACTTACCAAATTGTAAACACATCTGACTGGCTGCATGACTCCTTGTTGCAATGGAATCACACCGTGTTAAGTAATTTCATATCTGTATATGATTGACACAGTATTACGCTCTTATTTACATTTGCTAAGCATTAATAATTTCCATGAGGAAGATAAGTGGTAAGGAAAAACTAGACTAGATCATGTAGGAAAAAAGACAAAAGGGAAGATACGACACCTGAAGCGGGTAGCATCGGCAGGACCTGTGTGCCAGTAGCATCCCAGGTGGGCCTGGTTGACAGACACAGGGAGGCTGTGACTGCTCCAACACTCCCTTACCTTCTCTATAATTAAAAAATTATGTACTGTATAAAAAATTAACTGGAAATACATCAGTGATCCCTCAAAATTGGTCTTAAAAACTTTGCTTATAAGGCTATAAATTTCCCAATATCAAAATGTAATAAATGCAAGGGTTTACTGTATTTACATACTACCTTGTACTTAAGTATATACAACACAGATGCTGCATATGGTTTTATTAAATGTTAAAAGACTTGAAACATGCATGTTCGTGCAAGGTTCTCGTCCCTACATGCGTGTACGTACTAGTCATTGCCAAGAGTTTGTTTTAATTCAATAATCAAAGCAAAAAGTGTTGTATTTAGTTGTATTAGTTACAGTATATAATTTAAGGTTTAATGTGAACAATGTCTGGGGAAGAAAAAAATCTTCTAATTAAGCAATGGCAGCAGTGTGTTGACGTGCATGTCTGCATGTAGAGAAAAGACCGAGAGAAGACCTATATATCCGGTGGGTTGAGAGTACTGTACTCAAGATCATAACCTCTCAACCACTTAACCTACACACTATGTATTTATATAATAAATAAAATCATTCATATCAGTTAAATAATACTGGGATGATCTACTTAGAATTTAAACATCAAACCGCGACAAAATTATTTGTCCATTATGGTAAACTTTTTATCAAATCTAAGTAGAAATATCTACCCAATTGTGTGCTCTACAGTATAGCTGACTGCCAGTGTTATGTGGCGATGTGCTCCTTGAGAAGTCATGTAAAACTGAACCTTGCAGTAATTTGTCAAATACCTTGTAGGAAGAACAGGATGCATTCCACAACAAAATTTTATTACATATTAATTTGGGTGTGCAGAAAATGTTTAATAGGGTAATTGTAGTGAAACTGGTCCTGGGTAATGGGTCCTGTAATGGGTAGGAGTGTGTGTGTGTTGGCATAAGAGCAGCAGTGCTTTGGACTTTCACAGCCAGATGGCAGCACGTATGGCTCGGATATTTATAATGTTCAAGGTCATCCTTCATCTGTCAACTATCACAGAACAGTGGACACTGCAAGTAAGTAAGTAATTATCAAGCGAAAGCACCAAGGCCGGGAAGGATATGTAGCACCACGTGGACACTGCAAAAGCCAGTTCATAATGTTCAGACCCGATATGATTCTGGGTTTGTCTTATGGCACGATTCATAGCATGATTCTGGGTTTGTCTTATGGCACGATTCATAGCATGATTCTGGGTTTGTCGGTAAAGAAATAAAAGTGCCATTGATACATTTATCTGCATATTTAGACAACAAAATATATAATGATTTAATGTGCTTATAAAAATATATATGCATGAAATAAATACTGTACACAATTTTTTCCACTAACTTTTTTGTAACAGAGACTACAGACAGCAAAATAAGGTTACAGTGATATCATGCCATATGATAAACTGTACAATCACCCTGAACTGTCCTTAAAGTCTGTAATGGCCACGGTTTGTGACGTTCTTTGCTACAGGTGGTACCTGTGCGTCACCACCACCAGCCCCACACTACAATGCTGCATCAACCACTACAAAACACCCACAGCTTCTTCCTCACAAGGTTTCAGTTTTTTTTGTCGGTTCTTTTACCACCATTGCTTTTCCTTTTACTCAGGGTCCACGATATGATTTGAAAACGGGTAAATTTAGGTAAATGATCTGCTTTCTTTTATATTTTAGATCATTTCAAGAAAATTTTCCATTATTCGGCTTGATAATTATCCAGGACGGAGCAAAGCGTCATCAATTCTTTATTTTCAGATCTGTGGGACGGGTATCAAATTTTGAAGCACGAGATTGTGACTTACTTATGTTATTACACACCTGACTCCTTAGTGATTTTTACCTGTAACAACAGTGCAAATTATAATTTTAAACAGTGCAATGTTAGTGATGCCAAGAAAAAAAGCCATCACAGGCAAGGCCAAAAGTCAAATGATCTTACTGAACTATTCATTCCAGGTGATCTGAGCTGCTTTTACGCATTATCTTGCTCTTCTAAAACTGTGCTAGAGTGTACTTGTAAATAACAAATACAAGTGACTTTAGACATGATTATTTTATTGTCTAAATTCATTTCCAATTAAACACATAAAGGTGCATCAAAACCATCAGAAAATGGTGTTAATTATTTTTTTTTAACAAAGGTAACAAAATTATAGTAACATTCCCATTTACTTTTTAATTATTACAATTTATGATTAATGAAAGGCTGTGACCATCACATTCTTTCAATCACTTTCATACACAATCAATCCTCTGGTAAAAAAAAAAAAGTTATTGGGATGTCCCCGTCTTTAATCCAGAAACTAACATTATCAACATAAAATCATTCATGTGGACTTCTTAAAAACTCATATTAGTTTAGTTTTTACCATCATTATTTTGTATTCAACATAAGGTACAATACCTGTATGTATATGTGAAGATATTAATTGACATTATTGTTTTCTTGTTTACTTTGAGTCTCACATTCATACATTACGTCTAGAACAAATATAAAAAATGTGTGGGATCTTTATTTTGTATTAAGTCAATGTTTGGCAATGTTGCCTCACTCAACATTGCGTAACTCTTGAAACAAAAGTAGAAATCTGTTAAAAATATAGTTCTACAACAGTTTATGAATAACCGATCAAGGTGTCAGGGAACACAACACACAGCAGTATATTCCACACAATATTGGTGGGATGAATGAAATGTATACAGAACAAAGATTGGAATTCAATGGGTAGAAATGTGAAGAGTGAAGATTTGTGCCATAGTGTCAAAAAGCTTTGGAAATATCCAGAATCATGATAAATTCACAGCAGACATGAACTTAAGCTGACCATATGACATAAGGTAGAAGGTCGCTGGTAAAACTTAGGGAAATCATAAAAGTAACAAAAGAAATTACTACACAATGTTGAAGAAACTTTTATTTAAGGATAGATTCAAGCACTCAGAAATACTGTAGAAGTAGTAAAGGCAATAGTGTGTTAGGGGTTAGAATGGTCGCCTTTCTTTGCAACAATGAGCAGGTTTCCAAGATGGGGAAATTTAAGACATTTGCTACACAACCAAAAGGTCAAATTCAATTTCTGTAACAAGAAATATTTGGCCACATTTCCCTTCACCAAAACAGTCAAGACTTCTTAAATGATTCACTCAGTTCCAAATGATTCACACAAAACTTGCTTGAATCCCCTCTAGTGTAAAAGGCGACCAACAGGTGGCATCCTAGGAGTTCCAGGCATCAATGAGTCAATCCAGAGATGACAGACCCTTAACTGGACTACTCGATCGGGTGGGGTGGGGAATCATGGAGCCACCAAAGCTCTACCAGAAAGAGGCATGTTATTACATTTCCTGAAGGAGCCTCTGGTGGCTCCCTGCAGCTAACAAAAGATGGGAAAGCAGCAGCAACACCAGCAGTCATACAAATCATGGTAAACTTTTGTACAGTAATAAACTCCAGATGTGTAGCTCAGTGGAGAAGGGCAAACCAGCAACGTGTATCATTATGTTGATCCACTGAAAGAGGCAGAGCTATGGAAAAATGCCCATGTTTGGACATCGGGCCAGAAACTAAGGCCGAGCTAACCACCAAGGAACCAAAAGAATCACCTTGCCCAAGTATGTCTCCAACCTGGATAACACTCATAACAACTGAACCAGGGGGTGGGAGGAAGAAATTACCTCCCACCATGACCAGTTCAGCTAAAAGGCATCTACCGCGAGAGCCTTACTATTGGGAAACTGAGCCATGTAAGAGAGATGCTGCCGGTTCCATGCCAACAAAAAGAGGTCCACCTCGGGACAACTGAATGCCTTGCAAAGCCAATGGAAGGACAGAGTATTATTGACAATTCACTGCATGGAAATGAGACAGATGCAACATAAAACGATTTACAAGAACATCGGATGCACACTGCACATGAACCATGCAGAAAACCAAACCCTACACAAACCCTAACCCTATACTAAGGGTTAGGAATAATACACAATTAAATGACCCACACAGGACAGAGTCCAGAAGGTGGCCCACACCTTTTGCGTGAGAGCCACCTTGATCTTGGAAAGAAGCGAGACACGCTACAGCCTGACAATTTGGGAAGATTTGATTGCCAAGACATCAGCAATGGGACTGACCCATTGCTGGTGCAGGGAACCTGGACCTCCTAGGGTGCCATCTGTTGGCAACCTTTCACACTAAGGAGTTTAAGCTAATGTTCAGTTAATCATATGGAATCGAGTGAATCATTTGTGGAGTCATTTGGCTGTTTTGGCGATTCATTTTGTATCAACCTTGCAGTTATTTGTATTGCTTTGCTTACTTTCTGAATGCTGTTGTGGTGTATGTGAGCGTAACAATCCCCAATTTCCTGTGCCCTAGTTGGGGATGGGGAAAGAGGGGTAGGTTCTTACTCTGGTCCCCAGTAAGACACTCAGGATTTCTATGGCCGATGTAGCTCAGTAAGGGGAAGTCATTTCAGGGAGCCATCGCCCTTGGAAACATTAATTACTTGAGTTTTAGTGAAGAAAAGATAGAAGGCAATGTTCAACAAAAGCAGTCAGAAGAAAGTCTGCAGATATTACCAAAATCTGTTTTAATACAGGTGTTGATCATGGAAGGATTAAGATGCTGGTTGGAACCAATACTACCACTACTGGACACCACCTTCCCATGACAGCAATGTCACTCCCCACTCCAGAGTGCCTTAGTACAGCAATACAGTTCACCTATTATACACCACTTTAGCGCCTGTTTTATTCATACTAATGTAATGTAACATGCATTTCATTACTTAAAATATTACATTTACATTTTCTTCTTCCTCGTCAACGTTCAATAATAATTTTTTTTTAGCTTATAAACCAGTATAAGATATGATCAGTGGTATCTTCTATTATGTGGCTCTACACTCAAGTTCCGTTCAACACAGCATCCTAGCTTCCAATCCCAGCACCTGTACCTTCCACACATGCTATTCAAGGATAAATAATTTTGTAATACATAAATGTATGTAGTACTTTGGTTATTAAGAATAATTTACCAATAAACTTAAATACCCACCATCCGGTCTAAGATGCTCTGTACAAGACCCAAGAATTATATTATTATCCCGATCAGTACACACGAAGGATCCAACAAGGGTTCGACCATCAGTCATCTCGATTTTCATGGACGAATGAAGCCACTTTTCAAGTCTCATGCGACCAGGAGTATTCTGAAATAAATAAGAGTTCCTCAAATGGTTTATGATTTACTTTAACAGTAAACCTAGGAGTCAAATTTCAAGCATTATCCCCAAAAATAAAATCTGCAATGTATAGTATGTTTATTTTTTTTAAATACTATAACAAAAATAGAAGCAAAAAGGAAAACCATCAAGCATTAAACATAATGTAACATCCATTTCTGGGGTGCCCACCAGTAGCTCCCCAAGTTTACCTTTGATAGCCAAGCTTGGCCCAACACACCAGGTCTCCGAGACCCATTTCTTACTCACCAAGAGCCAGGACCAGAATCTAGCTCAGTTTACAAGGTGTGGGGGAGTATGGAGATCAGAGATCAATCATAAACCTGAGGAACATCTACCAGTAAGCATAAGCACCCCCTAGATAGGCTAGACAAATGATGGTTACTGCTGGTTAAATATCAACATGTGAAGTGCCCGAATGCCATCAGATGGCATCCCAGGTCACCTGAGGTCTCGGCTGGTCTGCCACCTCACTCTGGAGCTGCCTTTGCACAGCCCCATAACCACACAAACACAACCACTCTTTCACAGACAGAGTGGTAGATGGTTGGAACAAGTTAGGCGAGGTGGTGATGGAGGCCATAATCGTCGGTAATTTCAAAGCGTTATATGACAAAGTGCTGGGAAGACGGGACACCACGAGCATAGCTCTTATCCTGTAACTACACCTGGGTAATTACACAAAGGAGAAGAGAACAGGAAGGATATGCAAAATTTCTTGGAGCCTATCTGAAGGAGGCCTTTCATTACATTCTACACTTTCTGGAAGGACTCCTCAGTAAGGAACCAGATCCCTGCCCAATAGACAAAGTGAATGACTGCAGGCCCAAAGTAGCCAGTGATTGCAGTAGGCCAGAATGTAGATCCCCTCAAGATGAAGACCTGGGAATCAGAAGATGACCCAAGAGCCAGAGGAAGACCAAAACTGCTTAGCCCAAAAATGACCCAAGAACAACTCCAAACCATACCCTAAACTCAGGATTTATTTATTTATTTACATAAAATTTATTTTGGGTTTATGAGAGTACAGAGCATTAAAGTTTTACATTCTTGTAAAGCCACTAGCACACATAACGTTTTGGGCAGACGGCTGCCCGAAACTGTCGGGCAGACGGTTGCCCGAAACTGTCGGGCAGACGGTTGCCCATCCATCCAAAGCAGGATGGACGGAAATGTGCCAAAAGGCATCCTGAAGAACCAGGAATATGAGCCAAGAGAGGATAAGATCAGGGCAAGCACCAAAAATGGCCCCACAGTGGTACGGCAGAGCACACTTCTATATCTGCTCACTCCGTGATGACAATTAATCTAGAATTCCTACCCCTCCCCTCCCACCGAGACAGCCAGAGACAACTCAACAAAAAGACAGGACCAGGGGTACCAACCACAGCCAAAACACCTAGCAAAGTGGCATAAGACACACGCCCACTACCATCATAACCCTGTTTGGACTCTCGAACACACTGTTTGTGATGGATCTCATGTGGGGATAATTACATCTGGTCATAGACAGCTGCTTTGACCACTGTGCCCCTCGCCTTCCAAATACGGCACCCCCGTATTAAAATGGCGTCTGTTTACAAGAGCCCTGAGGAAGCTGATGTGAACCCCATATAGCCGCGGGAGTTTTGAATCATACGTTAAAAATATAAGATCCCGGAGGCGCGTTGCGCAGTTCAGTGGTTAACTGACCATCTAAGGGAGAGTTTTATACTATCAAAAGCCTTAGAAAAGTCCAGGTATACTATGTCTTCTGGAAACCATGTGTCTGAAAAGCTTGTTACCATTACCAAAATTGTGAGCAGGTTAATAAAGCCAGATTTATTTTTAATAGAACCATATGTTGATTTTAGTAGATTGTGCACCGAGATGATTAACTCTCTTAAAATTCTTTCTATGAGTTTACAGATATGTTTTCTATCCTATATTGTGACTTGAAGCTGTTGCCCCTTGAATGCATTACATTTGACTTTTTAAGGAAGTGGTCTGGATTAATATTCTCCAAGGTGTTCCTTTTTTATAGGTCTCATTGAGATCAGTATACACAGACATCTCTAAAATTTTTGATAAGTTACCAGATAAAAGACTGGAAATTTACAGACAAGTTCCATTCCTTGTCTTATAACTAGCTTTTGAATGGATGGAGGCAGCACTTTCTACTCTTCTACCGTTTCTATCTACCTACTCTAACCCATTTTCTCTCTTTCTAAACTTTTCCTTTCTCCTGACCACTCTTCTTTACTCCTCCCTCCCACCTCATTATGTTATTTTATTTTCCATTTTTCATCAATTTTCGATACGTTACAGTAATAGGTTTAAAGAAGATACTGTACACTAATTTGTTGTCAGGACATTCTTCACTGAAAACCCTGCTATAAAAAGCTCTTAAGTTTCTAAAAAGTGCCCCACAGGTTTATGAAGTCCAATTACATATTATAAGTGTTTTAAGTTTAATGGATATGCGAGAGACATTCACAAGATCTGACCTTCCGTTGTGGTTGTTTATCAGTGCTTGAATCTCCTGATCTGGTCCCACCGTCTGTAAGATCCACGAGGTGATCACGGAAGTCTCCACCAGTCTTCATTGTCTTGGAATTCAACTTTTGCTTAGAATTTTGCTTTGCTTGAAATTCAACTATTTTACCACAAACTCATTCCTGTATAAATGGGGAAATATATAATTAAAATACAGACTGAAGTTACTCATTGCATTATAACACGAATTCAGCTGAACCACTGTATGAAAATATAAATCTGGCCTGTAAATATATTGCTGATTTTTTTCATTGCTACACCCAAGGAGGTGACTGCCAGATACAACCTGCTCAGAGGACCAACTGAAACAATGTCTATTGACATCCAGTGACCCCAAATGATATAAATATATCTGTGAATTCTATTGAATTATATCTGTTATATCTATTGTGAATTCTGCACAACTGAACTAATTTCTCAGCCAAGTCGCAGAATCTGTATTCTCTAGAGCACTGGCAAAAGAGATACATAATTTACACCTGGAAAATATTAAAGGAACTGGTTCAAAATCTCCACACATTAATAACATCACATGAGACCAGGAGGCATGACAGGATTTGCAAAATATCCCCATTGAAAAGCAGAGGTGCAATAGGTCTGCTGAGAGAAAACTTAACAATTAACAATTCATAAATACAGCATAATGTGAGGGGGAGCCACTAATACAATAGTGGCCTCAATGAGGACAGGAAGCCAGCAGCTCTTCAAGAGAAAACCAGATAATTCTCTCCAAGAAGTGCCGGACCAACCAGGCTGTGGTGGATATGTGGGTCTGGGGGCTGCTCCAAGCAACAGCCTAATGGACCAAACTCTCACAAGTCTAAGTCTGGCCTTGGGCTGGGCTTGGAGAGTAGAAAAACTCCCAGTACCCCATCATGCAGGTATCAAGCTTGTCAAAGGTCCCCCCATGAGTCCTGATGACTTTTTGTTACGGACCTGAGTCCAGCGTCCGAGCACGGAGCAGTGACGACAACGCCATCTGTGAGTCTGCTCCCGAAACCCCTTCCAAATGGACAGCGCCATCTAGTGAGGACGGGATATATCGGCCACAGGTGCTGGATTCCCGTCTTGATCAGCTCATAACGTAGCCGCTGCTGACCTCTGGTGAGGTGGCACTTAGACAGCAACGCCATCTATGGAGTGGATAGGTGGACATTTGTGTCTAAGCCTGTAAGTGAGGTGCCCTAGAGTGTCCCTAGTATTAATGACGTGTCTGATTACAGAGTCGACCTGGAACTGCTGTATTCGACGATGGGGCAGTCTACCCAAGGCAGCCAGTCTCTCCACGTGTTTGCTGCAGAAGCTGTGTCACCCCCGGACGAACACTGTTGAGTGTGTTAGCCTGCCTGTGACGTGACAGTACCAGGAATCGTCTTATCTGGGGGCTGGCTGGTAGAAGAGACTACCCAGTGTGGTGCGGAGAGAGGAGAGTGATCTGCGGAATCACACGAGGCTCCTGCCTAGGGCTCGCAACCCTAGTATCGGTCGTGGAGTGGCCTACACAGCGGAGCTGATTGGAACCTGCCAGCTACAGGCTGGATTTGTGGTTGAAGGCCTCCACGACGGTGCACCCAGTGGGACTGTGATTTGGCTGGCCTGTGGCCAGGGTAGATTCGCCGAGAGAATCAGAGGATTCATCGTGGGCCACGATGAAGAGAACCAGGGCTACTCATCTTGAGCACCGTGGAGCATCCTGTGTCTTCAGAGGAAGACTAATCTGTATATAATAAGTGTAGTTATAGCAGCCCCGCGTGTGACTGTGATATATTTATTTATGGTGGTTTTAGCCATATATATACAAAAGCAGTGCATTTGTATCCCTTCCCCTTTAATTTCACTTGCGTTACGGAACGCACCCCTTGAAAGCCACTACTAGCTTGGGACCGGATACCCAAACTCTAATAACATCAGAGAAGAACCCAGTTGCGACCCAATAGGGCCGTAACACTTTTTCAAACTGGATTTTAAAGTTCAGTAGAGTTTTGGCATTTATGGCTTTGGTGGGTAAGTGGTTCCTGGGTTAATAACCCTGTGGGTGAAAAAGCATCTTCTGTTTTCAGTCCTACACTGTGGCTTGTTGAACTTGAAACCTCCATAACATGCTTTTTTACATACAGTATAACCCCACCTGCTCTTGTTGTCCTTTCTGAGTGGTGGATGGCAGCCAGGAAGATGGAATTCCTCTTCAATTATGTCCTCTTGTCCCAACTTTTTGTCAATGCCAATGATGTCGGGATTCTCAACCTCCACGTATGCACACAATGCATCAATAATAATAATAATAATAATAATATTTTATTCAGGAAAAGTACATACATAGAAGCAGAGTTACAAACATACTGTTGGATTTAGAGATGGAGCTAATACATGCAATACCTAAAGCCACTAATACGCATAGCGTTTCGGGCAAGGTGTGGGGGAGGGGGGGAACACTTCTACTAAATCTTAATAGTAATTGGGAGTAAAGTTTAAATTGTGTTGAAGAAAAGAAATGAAAAAAATAGGGGAGGGGGGGGGGCAGGGGGGAACATGGCAAAAATCAGCAATTGTACAAGTTGGTCAACAAACAGAATTGTTTAGAATAGCAAGACATGGGTTGACATTTAGGGGGTAAGGTAGATTACATGGAGTTAATTAGGTAGTATTTAGTTCTACTCTTAAACTGGTTGAGTGAGGTACAGCCCTTGACATGATTAGGGCGATCATTCCACATTCTGGGTCCCTTGAGTTGTAGAGCATTTCTAGTTTGGTTAAGTCGCACTCTTGGAATATCAAATAGGTATTTGTTTCTGGTGTGATGGACATGGGTTCTGTTACAACCTTCTAGGAAACTTTTAAGGTCAGGATTGACATTGCAGTTCAGAGTTTTAAATATATAGAGTAAACATGAGAGGATGTGCAGTGGCTTAATATCTAACATATTGAAAGATTTGAGTAAGGGTACCGAGTGCTGTCTGGGGCCAGAGTTAGATACTGTTCTAAAAGCAACTTTGTGTTGAGTAATTCGAGAACGTATATGATTTTGTGTAGTAGAACCCTAAGCACAAATACCATAATTGAGGTAAGGATAGATAAGAGAGTAATAGAGCGTCACCAGAGCTGGGCGAGGTACATAATTTTTTTTATTTATATATATATATATATTATATTTATATTATATATATATATATATATATATATATATATATATATATATATATATATATATATAAAGTTCTTACATTCTTGTACTGCCACTAATACGCATAGTGTTTTGGGAAAGTCCTTAATCCTATGTTCCCTGGCATACGACCCTGGCAAAGAATCGTTTTTACAACCAAGTACCCATTTTACTATTGAATTAAACAGAGGCTACAGTTAAGGATTTGCGCCCAGTAAATCCTCCCCGGCCAGGATACAAACCCAGGACAGAGCGCTCGCAGAACGCCAGGCGAGTGTCTTACCACTACGCCACAGAGACTGCATCTTAGAAAGATTTCTTAGATGCATCTTAGATGCATCTGGTCTGAAGCCATATTGGCAAGAGCTAGGTATATTGTGTTTGTCTACATAAGAGTAAAGCTGCCTGCAGATTAGTTTTTCAAATATTTTTGACAAGTTTGGCAGAATTGATATAGGTCTGAAATTGTTGACATCAGCGAGATCACCACATTTATGGACTGGGGTTACTCTAGCTTTTTTTAGAATATCCAGAACGGTTTGGAGTTCAAGTGACTTGTTGTTACGGCCCTATTGGGTCGCAACTGGGTTCTTTCTCTGATGTAAGTAGAGTTTGGGTATCCGGCCCCAAGCTAGTAGTGGCTTTCAAGGGATGTGATCCGTAACGCAAGTAAATTAAAGGGGAAGGGAGACAAAGGCAAAAACTTAATAATATAATTACCGCCACCAATAAATAATATATATTTTATCACACGGGGGAGGTATAAACACTAGTATATACAACGTGGTCTTCCTCTGAAGACTCTGGACGTTCACGGTGCTTTAGGCGAGTGGTCCTGGTTCTCTTGTTGTGGCCTCTCGATGAATCCTTCGATTCTCTTGAGTCTACCCTGGCCACAGGCCAGCCAAATCACAGTTCCACTGGGGGCACCGTCGTGGAGGCCGTCAACCACAAATCCAGCCTTTAGCTGGCAGGTTCCAATCAGCAACGCTGCGTAGGCCACTCACGACCGATACTAGGGTTGCGAGCCCTAGTCAGGAGCCTCGTGTGATCCCACAGATCACTCTCCTCACCACAACACCCCAGTGGTTAAGCGTCTCCACCAGTCAGTCCCGGATACGACAATCCCTCAGCTGCCACGTCACAGGCAGGCTAACACCTCAGTGTTCATCCGGGGGGTGACTCACAGCTGCTGCAGCAAATACTTGGAGACAAGACGGCTGCCTTGGGTAGACTGATCCACTGTCCGATTCAGCAGTCCCAGGTCGACTCTGTAATCATACACGTCATCAGTACTAGGGACACTCTAGGGCACGTCACTTACCGGCTCAGACCCAAACGCCCACCTATCCACTCCATAGATGGCGTTGCTGTCTAAGCGCCACCTCACCAGAGGTCAGCAGCGGCTGTGTTATGAGCTGATCAGGATGGGAAACTAGCACTTGTGGCTGGTATTTCCTGTCCTCACTTGATGGCGCCGTCCATTTGGAGAGGGTTTCGGGAGCTGACCCACAGATGGCGTGGTCGTCACTGCTCCGTGCTCGGACGCTGGGCTCGGGTCCGTAACACTTGTTGAAGAGCAATGCAATGACAGGCGCTAAAAATCTGGAGGCTTTTTTTGTAAATTAGAGTTGGTATCTCAGCAAGGGCACTAGACTTGGTTTTAAGGGAAAGGGTTATCTCATTAACATCAGTGGAGTTAGCAGGCATTAGGTACAGGGACTCTAGATAGTTACCTGGAAGATAGTCCCTGACATTAGTACAGGAGATAAGATACAAGTATACAAATCAAATCTATTTACTGTGCTTCCCGGGATTCGAACCCGTTATTCTCGATTGTGAATCGAGAACGAACCCGACTACTACCAAGACCCCTGGGAACTAGAGGGAACATGTATGTATGTATATGTGTATATATATATATATATATTATATATATATCTCAACCCCTCTAAGAATATGGCCAGAATGTCAATTAGGTCAACCCATGTGTTGTGTTCCAAAAGGGTCGCCCCATGTTGGAATATCGAACGCCCAAAGAATAGTTGAAAACATCTTGGTAACTTATTAAATTAAAATTATACACTATGGCTGCCTGTCTCCCTACACTATAAATTATTATCAATTCTATAGGGTTAGTCGTGCCTTGCATGGTGAAGGACATCATCTGCGGCACCACACCAAACACTGGCAAGGAACCTGCCAGCATATGCATCAACTGCTACAATAATACAACAGATAAAGCGCATTTAAAACAAAGAACGCACATTCCTTTCCATTCATACTACACGGAAATAAATATGACTGACCATAGGGTTATAAACCCAAGGAACTGCCTACCCGCACAACCCTAACTCTCAAAACACTACTGCAATTGAAGATCCAAATAGATAAAATCTATCAGAACAAAGCTCCCAATGTCAATGGTGGGTTCCGTTGACAACCCGTCGGCTTCCTGTCCTCGTGGAGACCACTAGAGGAATTGTGGCCCTCAGAAATATTGTGGTCAACTTAATATTTAAGGAAGAGTAGGGGTGACGGAGGAGTGTACTCACCTATTTGTGCTTGCGGGGGTTGAGCTCTGGCTCTTTGGCCCCGCCTCTCAACCGTCAATCAACAGGTGTACAGGTTCCTGAGCCTATTGGGCTCTACGGCCGACCTTGTGGGTGACACAGGTATACCAGTGAGCAGCCTGGTGTAGGAGGAGGTGCGGGAAGTGGTAGAGGTCAGGTGGTGCCATAGAGTGCCACCTGGTGCCAGCCTGCCAGGGGGGTGACAGTCGTCTGCAGGGACACTAGGCCACACTGGCTACCCTCTCCAAGGATCACACACAAACATAAACACAGTTATTGAACCATTTCTCACACAACAGTTGTACCTTTCGTATATATATATAATTGCTCAATATTAAAACAACAATATAATGTTATTAACAGTTAAAATCTCTTACTTAAGAGGCATATAGTTATTAAATGAAATAGAGTGATGTGATGGCCATAATCCGGGCTTGTAAGAACGCCGCCCTCAACACACGCTCACGAACACCATCCAACGCACAAAACTTAAAAATAAAATACAAATACATATACAAATATTTATTCAGGTAAAATACATACATACAAGGTGAAATACAAAAGTTGATGGCTTTATAGATAGAGCTAGTACATACAATGCCTAAAGCCACTATTACGCAAAGCGTTTCGGGCAGTTTTGGGGTGAATTCCTATTACATTTATTATGTAATACTTATACTTATAAATAATAATGAGTATTAAAGATAAGTGCCTAATATGTAATATTAATTAATAAAAACGAAGTCAGAAGCCACACGCCTGTCTGTACATGTCTTTTGTGTTAAAGTCTTTTGGGCGCTCATGTTCTTATGCGCCAGCTGGCGTTCACAACTGTTCTCGCCTACAAGCATTACAATTAATTAAACGAAACGTTATTTGTTTGTTAGTTTACTTATTCTTATTCCTTATATTTATAGAAAAAGATACATTGGATTGAGAGTACATAGCATTGGTGTTCTTACATTCCTGTAAAGCCACTAACAATCATAGCTTTTCGGGCAGGTCCTTAAGAACAGGGTTTTGTACATGTAACTGGCACAAGAGAATGTGTGGAGTGAGTTTATGTTTAGCATGTTTAGGGATTTAAACAAGAGGGCTGAGTGTTGTCTGAAAGCAGGGTTTATTGTTCTGATAGCAGATTTTTTGCTGGGTGATGATGGGCTTGAGGTAGTTTGCAGAGGTTGAACTCCATACACAGATACCATATGCAAGATAGGGATAGATTACCTCATGGTACAGTGAGAGGAGAACAGAGATAGGAACATAATATAATCATCCCACTTACAGTTGTGAACCTCCTTGTAAAATGTCCAGATTTTCAGGATGATCATACGTCTTGTCTTAATAATGTCTTCCAGGCCGCGTGTCCCTCCTCAATGAAACCAATACCTTTGATGTCACTCACACTGTCCTTTTCTTCTCAAACTGGAATCCCGAGTGATATTTAATGTCCTATGAACATCCCGTGACAAAAGGTATTAGGCTTCCCGGTTTGGCATATTCTTTTGATAATTACTTAATGATTAGGAAAAAAAATTAAAAATCCATATCTATTTTGCAAAACTGCCCAGTCTTGGAGTTATTTGAGGAAAGATGCTTTCTGATGAAAGATGATGCCATCATCCAAGGTAAACCCAGGTATCACATTCTAAGCTGCATGTACACACATTGAACATATTTTATTTTATTTTATTCATATTTGTATTGATATTACCCCCTTTCTTCAGAGTACAACAATGCACTGGGCTATCATAATGTTAGTATATTTATATCACAATGTGTTGAATATCTATATGCACAGATATATTTATGTAACTAATATGCTCATATTTTATTCTTTGAACATTAAAACATAGTTTTGCTGTTATTATACTATATACACATATCATATATATCTCCATTTTTATGCACCATAATGAACTGCTAAGCAGTTCTGGTGGGAGTGGAATCGAACCCAAGCACAACATAAAGCCACCTGCTACTAGCAGACGACACAATCACATGCAGCAAAATGTGTCCAACATACTACTACTCAAATCACTAGATAGCCATAACACTGCTGTTATCAGATTCATGTCACTATATCATGAATATGAATCATTTTCCACATGTTTATTTGCTAAAGACAACAATGCCATTTTCCTGCACCCTTGTAGATTCCTCCATTTCCATACAAGAAACAAATTGGAAATCAGCCAAAGCTTGGTCTTGAGGCAAAGCTCAATGCCTTAAGCCATATTGATGCTCTGTCCACAGAGCATTCTCTCTCTCAAATCATATATACTGATGGTTCCCTACACCACCCCACGGGTGCAGTTGTCCCGTGAATGGGCGATGGCTTGTATTTTGAGTAGGGGTCTGTATAAACAACTGGGCCTCTACCCTTCAGACAGAACTATTTGCCTTGCTTCTTGCACTGAAATAAGTTAGTTTCCAAACTTTAACATTAATTGTAAGTGACTTTTTATCATCCTTAATTGCACTTAACTGTAACATGCTTGTGTCTGAAGCTAGACGCAAATACAAAATGATTAAAGATGGTAACAGAGTCCATTTTTTGTGGATTCCATTTCATGTTGGCCTCCAATTGCACGAGAGCTGATGAGTTAGCTAAAGAATCTGCCTTTAAAGGTGAAAATTAGTACAACCTTGGATTACCTATAAGCAGTCTTAGAGCAACTGTACACCAAGAACTTCAACAAAATCTTGTAGATCTGAGGCAAAGTTAAATCAACACTAGTAATTCCATCTATCATCATATTATCATGCAAGAAGAGCCACACATCTATGGATCATCCAATAAAATCAGCAGACTTCTAGATGTTACTTCTGCTTGGCTTAGACTCGGCTACAAATATTTCTGGGAATTTTCATTACCTGCCGAAGTAGACCTGACCAAATGTAAACTGTGTCAACAAAATTATTTGCACAGTGCAAAAAGATTCATGAAATTAGAGAATTCTATAACATATGTTCAAGAGATGTGTAAATATTTCATTCAAAATTAACTGCTACCGGAAATTTTTGTCAAATACCCCATTTGTTAACTGTAAGTAGTAACTAAGTGATTGTAACCTATCCACCGCTGCCCACTGGATGGGGGGGCGGTGTGCAGGATAAACATCAATTGTGACACTAGCTCTCCACATATGTCAGTTGCTTAAATTTAAAACTGTACTTCTGGTGAATCTCGAGCCCATTATTGATGTGATGATGTGCAGTTAATTTTGTAACTAGCTCAAGATTGTAACTTGCTTAGCTAAATGAATTGCGGGGTTCAGTCCCTGAGCCCATTATGTGCCTCTGTAACCCTTTCCATTATTGCCCACAGGATGGGTATGAGGTGCATAATAAATTAAATGAAACTAACTACAGGAACACATGGTCCTGCTTTATGATGCCTAGATGTATGAAACCGTGGCCGTGTGCCGTAATTTCTGCCTCTCACTGTGAACATCTTAACCAACACTGTGTTTACTGATATCTGAACATTGTACAGTCTTCATCACAGTTAGGATCTTCTATAGCACCATCATCTCAGATTTTTATTTCGTCAATATGAAGTGATGCTGTGGACAAGGTGCATGGAGGTTCTGTGAGCTGCTTCAGCATGTGTTATCCATGGTCGCCCTCTCAACAATGAAGCCCCTCACGCCCAGGAGGGGTGCCAGTGATTTGTTTCCAAGATGGCATCTGTTTACTGGATGCCTGAGGAAGCTAATGTGAGCCCCATGTATGTGAGGGACATTAATCTTATGCGGTACTTTAAATCATCTCTGTGACTTGCACAGTAGGGCCATATATGGTGCAAGCATATATGGGCAATTGAAGGTTTAAAATGGGTAGTTGAACGGTTAAATATTCACCTAAAAGAAATTGGGGAACTGACTGAAAGCAGATTGGCAGATCGTGTTCCAGGGAAAAACTGGTAGGGTAAGGTTTAAGATAAGCTATGGAAGGGAGAGCTCTAAGCCTGATAACAGGAGTCGGGAGTTATCTGCTCCTGTACACACAATTAAATATTAAGTACTGTATTAAAATTACTGGTATCGGTCTTTTTATAATATGAGCATCAGCTAATAAGACAGACAAGTATTGGTCAAAATACTGGTATTAATATGCCTTTTAGAATTTTCCTATCTTTCTGTAAGCAAAGTAATTGTAAGGTGAATAAATACCATCATTATAATGAAGCAGATTTTAGGAAACAGTGAAGTTATTCATTATTTATTTATATATATATGTATATAGACAATATAATTATGGGAAGGTAATTAAAACTGTGCAACACATTTATAAGGAGCAGGAACATATTAGGGCAGTGCTTGTATGGTTTGCTTCCTCTATTATGTTCACATGTTGCTCAGAATGTGACATGTATATTGTGGCCTAATATATGGCTCAGTTATAGCCTAGTCCAACTTCTACATATTGAAATACGGACTGAAATGATTGTCCAATACTGTTACCGCCAAAGAGCCCAATATGTCTACAGGATGAACCACACGAGCACTGCTCTACATATCCACAAGAATAAACATTTAAATTCAACTCTGTCAAAATCAACATTTGTGTCAGTGGAAGCTATTCATCAGAAACTGAACAAAACATACTGTATTCCAATATGTGTACCTTTCATATTTTACAGAGAGAATTGAACACAATACACTTAATTATAAACATTTTGTAATATATTCTGCATTAATAATAATAAAAGTAATAATACGATGATGAACCATGAAAATGAAACATTATGAAAGACTTCTTAATTTACTCAAGAAAGTAATTCGACATTACTTTCAGCCTTCAAATTTTGGATGTACATTTTGAATCTCTACATTTCTTATGGTTACAAATACACAGCACATCCCCTGCTTTTTAAGTTATCACTTGGATTAGCACTGTCAAGTGCATCAAGGCAAGTATCACCTGTATGAATGCATGACATTAAGAAGACAAATATTCCAACAACTTGCTACTCGCTCTTGGCAGCCTTTGCATCAGGCACCCAAAGCCCCGAATCAACGCAGCGCTTCATGTGATAAGTTGCTTCCTCCGGATCCATCTTTTCTATTGTCTTTTGCAGCAACTCTACATTTTGACTTTCAAAACATTTCTGCAGCTCCTGAAAAATAAAAATACAGTACTTGTAAAGATGATTTTATACAGTTTCCATAGAAGTGAGCACAAACCTAAGATTTCCAATTATCCAACAAATTATTTATCTGATAATTTCTTAGTGAAACCTGCATTAGATAAAACTATTTGTGGTCAACTTTATCTAAATTGCTTCAATGGCTATAGTTAAAAAACTTGTAACTATGACTCAGAAATGAAATAATTGTAAAGGAGGGTCATCCACTCTGTAACTATAATAGAAACAGTTAGGGGAAAAAATAACAAGTACAGTACAGAGGAAAGGTTGCTAAACAGCCCAATTGGAATACAATACTGCATTTAAATGGTGATTTTGGACACAAGTTGGAGTGTTTTCACATAACCTAACTTCATCCTTGAGCTCAGTAAGCTACTAAGCAATTAAGGCTGCAATTTATAACCTATTTCACCAAGTGAGACTAACTGCTTCAGGTTCCTACAGGGTTCTTATACTCCCTTAACAAAACTACACGACAACGACTCATCTGTGTGAAATATAATTGATAATGTGACAACTACAGTGCTTGAGAGATACTTCCAGCAAAGTGAAACTCACCTCAGGCAAGGTCTCCAAAACCTCCAGGGGATCAAGCCCACCCGGACCAAGTCTAGCTTGCCGTTCTTCCTCTTCTGCTTCCTTTAGCAGCTCCTCCACCTTCTGTGCAGCACGCTTACTCACACGATCTTTGAAGCCGTCCAGTTCATCGGTGAAGGCTTTTTTGTATTCTTGTTCAGCTTGCTGTATTCTGTAAACATATATAAAGAATGTTTCAAAATAATGGAATAAACAATCTAAACCATTTTACTGTAGTACAGTAGATTCATGCCCCAACAAACCCTGCTACAGCAAAATCCAAAGAAATTCACACGTACTTAAGTTCAAAATTGTTCTTAATAACAACAAATATTCAAACTAAAGCAAATTATATGCATAAGCTGTTATGGTAACAGCCTATAAGGCTTGTCCAGGTTAACAGCTACCTTAATCAAAATGGCTATATTCAATATGTTACAGATCATGCAAACTTTAAAACCGAAATACAACAAATTCTGCAAATTATATTATCAAAGAATAATGCTACTTGTGGAACAGTAGAACACCCAATTATCTGTGTGATGGTATGTTACAGCTCCTCCTGAGACAGTGGGATCATAGCAGTCCCAGTGGTGCAGCAGTAACACACTGGCCCCGTGCTTCGTGAGCGATTGGGCCCGGGTTCGTATCCTGGCCGGGGAGGATTGACACAGCAACAATCCTTAACAGCCTCTGTTCACCCAGTAGTGAATGGGCACCTGGTTGTTAAATGATTTGGCCACTCGTATTACGAGGACATTTAAGAGGAAAGACCTGTACTCACCTAGTTGGCCGAAACACTGTGTGCTAGTGCTCTTTACAAGAATGTAAGAACTCTTGTATATATATAAATAATTAAAAAAAAATTTAGAGAGCAACTGAGTGACAGCTCAGCAAAAAGGTAAGCAATAACTTGTACATACTTTAGTACTAAAGATTTGGGCGAATTAGGTATAAAATTTACTTTGAGGTTAATATTTTTGGGAGTGTGGAACGGATTAATTAAATTTACATTATTTCTTACGAGAAAATTCGCTTCGGTTTACAAATTTTGGGGTTACGAATTGTTATCTTGAGATGATTTCGGGGCTTTAGTGTCCCCGCGGCCCGGTCCTCGACCAGGCCTCCACCCCCAGGAAGCAGCCCGTGACAGCTGACTAACACCCAGGTACCTATTTTACTGCTAGGTAACAGGGGCATTCAGGGTGAAAGAAACTTTAGCCCATTTGTTTCTGCCTCGTGCGGGAATCGAACCCGCGCCACAAAATTACGAGTCCTGCGCGCTATCCACCAGGCTACGAGGCCTGTCTCTGGGAACGGATTAAATTCGTAAATGGAGGGGGCCACTGTACAAGGTTTTTGTAACATTCATTTGGTTGCTCCCTGAGCAACCATTTATCATACATTATTGATGACTCTTATTGGCATATGGAAGACAGTGAGGAGAGGGGAAGAAGGAGAGGTGTTAGTGTTTGGAAGGGAAGTCCCCTTCCATTATAACATCAGGCAGTGATGACTTCTCTGGGGTACTCCCTCTCCTATGTTTTGCAGGCATACCACTAGGACCTGGTTGTGGCTAATTGCTTGCTTGTCTTGCTAAGAATCTGTCTAAAGACACTTGCTTTTCCCAACAATTTAACACTTGTCTGTAGTGAGACATCACATTGTCATTTAAAAGGTCAATACAACGGCCTACTACAGCTTTATCTGGGGGAGTTTTTTCAACAAAAGTTTGAAGTTCTTCCCATACTTCACACATTTTCGTAGTGAGGAAGGGACATTCTCTACTGCCTCTACTCAACTATTTTCTTAGGTTAAACCTTACCACTGACTTTTTTAGGACCCATGGCGAGATATATAATACTGTAATTACTTTTATGTTCAAATACCTAAAAATTAAAAAAAAAAAAAATTCTTCACAAAGAATTCAGGCACGATTGTCACTAGGTGGGAGGACTGGTAAACTGAGGCGCGGTTGCTGTGCCACCATGCGCTAGGTCGACTATACACATATCAACTGACTGCATTACCCGAGGCAAAGTTTGTAAACCGATTCAGATTTTACGAAGAAATTGGGCTCGTAACCCGAAAAGTTCGTAAAGAGGGGAATTCATAAGCCGGGGTGTCACTGTATTGCATTTTAAATAATATTTATACCAATTTGCATTAAAACTGGTAATTTTATTTGCATTTCAATAAAATATTTGAACACCTTCTAGGAAGAGATGCTAATGGAAGGAAAATGGTTGGAAAAGTTCATCACAATTCCTAATTCCATTCTATATAAGCCAAATGATAACAAAAACAAAGCTATACCTGTATGAACAAAAATGGTTCAGACAAATCACAGCTTTCAAAAAGGTTAACAATATCTCACAATGGTATTTATTTCTTACATGGTACAAATAAAATGAAGAGTGATGTTACCTATGGAAGAATGCAGATATGCAGGACCGTGGATCCCTTTCCAATTGTTTGGCCAGCTCCAGAATGAACTGCATGCAGATGGTTTGGTGAGCCACATGTGACATAAGCTCATGCTTCTCCTCCATCTCCAGGTTGATGCACCACACCACCAGGTAGTTGGCAGTATCCTCGCACGCTAGCTCTGTGTGTTCCTGTATCAACACAATGCTATCACAGTTACAAACTTTATTTCTTACAACCTACACAAATTGATATAATTATAGATGGACTGAACAGGTGTACAACAATGTAAACCAAATTCACATTTTTAGACAAATTCAATAACATTTAGCTTAAAATCTGAATGTGGAATATATTGATAAAGCAACGTATACAGTACTGAACCATTATAGCAGTAATATTTCATATCACACTTTTCACAAAATTTAATTACACTATAAATCAAAATATAATAAAAGCTGAAATTGGTTTTGCATGTCCAACTATTTGTTGAATTTGTGTGTTCTTGTTCCAATAGAGCTCTTAAATACTACAATTAAAATTTCTTAGTATAACTGAACATTCATACAATCTGTCTTGTACTGTACAGCCAAAATTTATCTCCTATTTACTAATGCTGCCACCTTGGTCTTGCTCGCCCCTCCACCTCTCATATCTTCCTTCTATCTCACACAGTGTAATATTAAGGAAAGACAAAAGTATGCTAAAAAAAAAAAAAAAAACTACTAATGCTCCTCCTGCACTATCCTGGTCTCTGGTTCATCTCCTTGTCTTTTTTCTGGGTTTCCCTTTGGTTTAGGACTACTACTTTTTTCACCTCCGGCACCTCTTTGACTGGAGATGCATAATTTGTTGAGTCCAGTGACAATTCTTCGCTGCTGCCTTCGTTCCACCGATTCTGCCTCTGTGGATACTCTGAGAGTTGATCCTTCTCCTTTGTTTCCTATTCCAAGGCTTGTATTTCTCAGGTCACTCTACAGTGTTATTAAACCTAGCCAGCCTGTGATCTATACTCATGCCCATGATGTTGGGATATATGGTGAACTTGCGGGTCTGTCTTTGCCAACATGTTTGTGTTGTCTTGGGCATGAGGTTCTAGAATTGTCCTGGAGCCATGAGTTTCTTACATCAATAAGTAACCAAGTGGCATAACTTAGATATAATAAACAATCACCCAGTCTTTAAAACTGAACCAACCTAGCATATTTATCAAACAAGGTTAATTTATTTAGTTCAAATCAGTTAACAGCTCTATCACACTGCCATGGCTGTCACACTAGTTAATGAACTAGAATGTTAAAACATACATAACTGGTTAATTACTTTAACAGTTAACTCACCATAAGGAACCGGCGAGAGTCGTCAAAGTTCCTAAACATCCCATATTTTTTAATATTGGCTTCATTCTTCTTAACAAACTCTTTCATGCGCTTCTCCCTCTCTTCCTCACTCAGGTTATCAGTATTCCTGTTACTAAGTTTGTTAATAACAGTTTTGCTAAAACCATCAGAGCTGATTGTGTCCACATTCCAAGGTTCCAGCTGGAAAAAATAATTGCTATTACTGTACTGTGTTAATAAAAATGCCGGTGTTCCTGGTTGGTGGAACTAAAACACAGTAACAATAGTGATATAGTATTAATGATGATAGTGAAAAATGTGGTGATGGCATGATGGCAGCACTAATGGAACAATGTGTAAGAAGTTAACACTGATGGAACTTTTACTTGTATTTCATAGAAATGAATAATATATATATATATATATATATGTGTATATATATATATGTGTATATATATAAAATTATATATATAATGTTATACATAACATTAAACAGGAGCCCAGTTCAGCTGCGCAAAAAGTAACACTGCAAGGCCCACCAAGGATTCAACAAACTTAAGTGAATTGCAGAATCTAAGGAACAGAGGTAAAATTGCACCACTCACAGGCATCCAATAATGCTCCCCAAAAAGTACCAAGGAGAAAATACTGAACCGGGCAGAAAGAAATGCCTGAACCCCTATCTTGGGGGAAAGGGGTTCTGGTATCCCCAAAATAAGCCTTGGTGATACCACAGCCTGAGCACACAAGTGGCTTCCACTACCAGTGGATCTTGTAGAGGAGCAAAGCCTACGCACTGCCCAGGGCAAGGTTCTGAGACAAGCCTCAGGGAAGAAAACTCTGGTTGAAGGCAGAGATAATGCTAATAGCAGCCAAGAAAGAGCACTCTGGTGTCATGCAGCTGTACCGAACAGCAAATGCTTGAACACACCAAGTGAAGTCCTAAACATGCATGTGAAACCAAAGGTATGATTGAAGCACAGGCCCCAACACTGGATACTGTCTGAAGACAAATGGGAAATATATTGGAGACTCTGGGCCCACTAGAATTGTACGAGACTGTACAGAACGACACCAGGTGCGTTAGTGCTAAAGGAACCACCATCATGTGGCGAGTGTGCACTATAAACTAGGGGCCAGATTCACGAATCAGTTACGCAAGCACTTATGAACCTGTACATTTTTTCTCAATCTTTGGTGGCTTTGTTTACAAATATTAAACAGTTAATGAGCTCTGAAGCACCAGGAGGCTGTTTATAACAACAACAGTTGACTGAGATGATTTCATGCTTGTAAACTGTTTAATAAATGTAACCAAAGCCGTCAAAGATTGAGGAAAGACGTACACATTCGTAAGTACTTGCGTAACTGCTTCGTGAATCTAGCCCCAGAGCTTTAATCCAATTAACAATAGTTCACAAAGTTTGGATCATCATTGCATATGTGATCCATGCAGTTGTCTGATTCAATGCCTGCTACCTTTCTGGTGATGTTGGTTACTATGGTGGTCTTAGATCCCCAGACTCCCATTCCTTCTTCTGAGTGAACCAGATTCTGGTACCGGTCTTTGGTATGCACTTTTGAATCAACAAGAGCCCATTGTGGCGACCAGGGTGGACAAGTACATCAGTGTGAAACTTAAGGAGATACCAAGAGAACCCATCCAGAAATGGACCCTCTTGGTAAAATGGAGATGGATTTTATTTGTTTAAATTATCAATAGTAAGAAGACTAAATTTTAAATTAAAAATTATACAAACAAATGGGAATACAAATACGAATAAACAAGTGGAAATACTTCATGAGCAGAATGGTAGATGGTTGGAATAGGCTCCAAGATGAGGTAGAGTGAGCCAAGGAGGAAGGCAGTGTGCCAAGTTCAAGGAGGGAATACTGGGTAAATGGGTTATTGGGTTAGACATAACAAGAGCCTACCTGATGAGAACCACCAGGAAAACCTGGCCTTAGGCAAAGCTGGAAAAGTAGACTAACTCTCAAAACTAGTACAGGTAAACCAGTATACATTGCCTCCAACTCCAAGGCTCACTACACTCATGTAATTTAAAATACATGTCATTTATACCTTTTCTTTTTTCTCAATTTCATTCTGTTTATTGACTAACTGCTCCCCTTTCTTCTCCAGCTCAGACAGCGCCTGTTTTATTTTAGTCATATCTGTGCTCTCAGCCACTGCCGGTGACTTCAGCTTTTCTTTTAGACTCTCCACCTGCTTTTCATATCTGAAAAGATTATTCCAATTAAATCCACGTGCATTTGTTGGCGTGAAAAGGCTCAACAATACAATTTTCAATATTCCATTACTATAACAACTTTGTGTTTCATAATATATGGTATTATATCATAATATAAGGTGTATCACCAGATAAGGACACAAAAAATAAATAAATATTTTTCAATCACAGTCCAAAGAATATGCCTTCAGAGAATAAGTTCACTAAAACCTTGGATTGCCAATAAGCACAGGCAAGAAAAATAATACATCAAGAATTTCAACAAAACCTTGTAGATCTGAGAAAAAGTGTAACTTACACTAGCTATTCCAACTACCATTCTACCATACAAGAATAGCCACATATCTATGGGTCAAACAATAAAAACTGCAGATTTGTAGATGTTACTACTGCTCGGCTTAGACTGTTGTAATTCTCTCTTGAGAGTTTGCATTACCTGCTGCTGTAGACCTGACGAAATGTAAACTGTGCCGACAACATTATTCACACACCATGTGTCACTATGTCATGGAACACAAAAAACTTGAAAGAATTTAGATACAGTATAACTATCACACACATTCAAGGTGTCTAAGTAATTCATTCAAAATGAAGTACAGTACTACCAGAAATCTTAGTAAAGTATTCCAAGTTTTCCTACAGTAGATACAGAGGAACTTCGGTTAACGAATTTAATCCGTTCCGGCACCGAGCTCGTCATGTGAAACGCTTGTCTTGCGAAATGAATTTCCCCATTTAAAATAATGGAAATACAATTAATCCGTTCCACCCCCGAAAAACATTAATATGAAATTTTATAGCACAAACGATAGCTTCAGACACACTATCGCCATGTAGTTGCCTTTCATTCATCCAACCAACAGCAGCTTTTCAACATCTAGAAAGTTTGGACACTACTTGGCAACCTTGGTAACTCCTTTAGCTACATAAAGCTTCTTAAATTCTTCCTTCCTCTTAAAGATGGTGCAGATTGTTGATGAGGACCTGCCATACTCCCTGGCGAGATCAGTCACATGGACACCATGCTCGTCCTTTGCTATGATTTCCTTCTTCAAATCTACAGTAATTGTGTCTTTCTTCCTCTTGACAACACTATCTTTAGCAGGCAGCTTCTTTGGCAACATCGTAGGTTACAAATTGTAGTCACAAAAAACTAAGCACAAATAAATGCAGAGGGATGCTTATCCTATGCGATAAAACAACAACACTGTCGTCAGAGGCATCTGAGAATTTGCGAGAACCAGCGGGAACGCTAGGAAGCACCACATGGTTTTCTCGTTAACCGAGCGAAAGCTGTCAATCGAGACAAATTTTGTGCGAGTTGGCTCACTCGTTACCTGAAATGATTGTAGATGGGGCTGTTCCTCACCCAAGGTTCCTCTGTGGTGCATGCTCGATTGCTCGTGATTGAAAATGTTCCACCACCGCCCATTGGATGGGTATAGGGTGCAATACGAGTAAATGAAATGTAACAAAGTTACTGCAAATGTACATTGCTTAACCTAAAGATTATTGGAATCTGATACTTGATTCTGCCACTCACAAACACAATGAGTTTGGGGTCCATAATACTGGACACTAATTAAATTAAGTCTCGCTCATTGTGTTAGGATCTCTTGGGGTTAAGGTGATAACTGCTTGATGAACTGTTGATGTATATGATGATAATATAGGTGACATCAATGCTGTAACTTACTTAGGTAAACAAATGTTGGAATTCAGTTCCTGAGCCTCTAAATGTTGTGTCAAAGTGTGAATGACTTTAACTATAACTGATGGCTAATTGTAATAGTTGAGTATGATTAATATAATTAACCATAGTTTGAGAGGGAACAGTGGTTAGTGACAAGTGATGAAAATGTAGTTTACAATCACTGTACAATATTCAAATTAATAAATTATGCCTGTTTTCAGTGCCTTTTGCTGAAACTATATGGACCATGCTTAAATGGAATGAATACGAGCTGGAGGAGATCCACGCCCAGTGAGAGATCATCTGGGGTATCTTAACTTTATGGGTTACTTTGAATTTTTGCAGCTTAGTGGTTAGGTACTATACCAAGTTGCAGAGTACCATTTTGTCTGTGGGAAACCACTGTAGTCGGTTACCTTGGGAAAACCAACTTGCTTACAGACAATTTTTTCTGCTCATGAGGCTTAGCCCCAGGTAAGGGTCAGTCAGAAGGATGGAATTAGTCGCAGTTAATTATGAGTTTTATCTAGATAAACATGGATTACTCAATTCCAGTGTTTTAGTTTATTTGGTGAACAGAGGTACAGATCCGATCAACTGGGTGCCCAAAGACAGTCTGGTGAAGATGTTGGGACCAGGAAGACCAAACAGTTGAGTTCAAAAGTGGTACAAGAGTCCCTCCACACCAAACCCAGCTAATTCCAGAACTCAGGATAGATGGGGACACACCACAAGTAGTTACAACAATCTAGGAAAACGTATTCAAAAGCACCTGGCAAATATATTGACATAGCGGTCAGTCAAAATGTGGGAGGGGGGATAAAGAGGGCTCTACTGATAACAGATCCAAAATAAAGTGAAGCACCTGAGTAACTCACCTGAGCATGGAAAGAGCAGGTCTGCAAGGCACAAAGGAGTAGATGACTGAACTTACCTGTCCTTAAGACAATGGAGAGGGAAGAGGTGCGGGGAAGAGGGGCAATAACACCATTAAGATCTTGAGATACCACTCAAAACACCCAGGCAACCTGAGACCAGGAGCTCAAATTGTGATGCCTGATTATGCCAGCATTATGCCATACCACAAAAGGGATGGTAGGAAAACTTTGCCGACTGGCAAATCTGGGCAAATAGTGTAAACTGCCACAAAGCGGTGCTACAGTGTGCACAGGTGGACCCAGAAGCACTTAGACAACCAACTCACCAGAAACCCTACCTCCTTCATGAATCAGAGTTACACTGGCACCAGACTGGTACAAAGGTGGGACCGAAGTAATATTTCGGCTATGCCCAGTGACTGAAATATACCCCTGTTGTGGTTAAATCCCAGAACATTACAAAATAATGCAGAATATAGTATTACAATACATTATTCTAAATTCAGCTACATATATTAGGTAAATATATGTAGCTACACATTTTGGTTAATAGTCATGCAAAAGTCTCTCCCTCAAGTAATGCCCAGTACTGTACCAGTTTAGCCCAATGATGTCATCATGTGTTTTTACATTGTGTTCTATCTACTTATAGCCAATATATTATTACCATCATTATCATTATACAATGTACTGTACATCATTATAACCAAATATATTATTGTAGGCAACTCTCCAGTACTAAATACAGTACAAAGTGGGTTACTGTTGTTAACTTTTAGCTTCAACTGGATATTACTATGCTTACACCTCTCTTTCCTTTTTAACACGCTCAAGTTCTTTCTCTTTTTCTGCCATACGCTCCAGCCGGGCTTGGTGACGCCATCGAAAGAGAGACGGAGTGTCAATGTTGGGATGAGTATCATCCTCATCATCTGAAATCTGAGAAATATATAGACTTTATTAATAAATTAAGAGTGCATGCAAATTGGAAAAAATTAAATTTACTAATTTCAATTTTAGTTGGAAAATAAGAAAGCATACACAGATGCTCATAATAATTTGGAAAATAAATGTAAAGTACTGTACTATAAGGTACATATATTCTTAATAATCATTACACAACTATTATACTAATTTGCTTCACAAAAAAAACAGCGTTGAATGTAATGAAACACCAATTTCTGGGCGAATCCCGAAGGTTCCCCTGCAGCTACTATCACCATGGTAGCATCAGCCATGGAGTCCTATCTGGCCTACCGGGGACCGAGAGCCAAAACCCAGCCCTCTCACAGAGGCGCAGGGAGCAGTACCATTTATTTATTTGTTTATTTATGCCACCACCGGGAAAGGCACCCTGAAATTCAGACAGGCAAAACAAACCACAGCTGGCTATAATGGAGACCGTAGCATTGAGAAATGCCATTAGTGGTTTTATTTCCCCAACAATGCAAACAAACAATTGAAAAGTTTCAAAACAAGCACCAGTTCACTTGCCCCCACATTCTCCCCGACTGTTTGGGGAAAGGGGAGGATGGGGGTGACAGTCAGCCAGTGACAAAGCTCTCAGTTCTATGGTAGATGTGACAAACAGCCAACCCCCCCCCCCCCTTCCCCAACAACCAGGAGGAGGGGAGGGAGGTAGGTCATCAGAGAAACGCGGACTGGCTGGGAACCCCCAATCAACCAGTCGTCGAGGTAGACCTAAACCCGAACACCAACAACTGAAGATGGGCTGTGATGACTTGAGCCAAGCGTGTGAATATGCATGGAGCCAGATTGGGCCCAAAGGGAAGAACCCAAAAGCGGTAGACCTGATACCCCACAACAAAGCCCAATCCATGAACCTCAGATGTATTGGGACATGGCATTAAGCATCCCAGAGATCCAGGGAAATCATCCAAGAGGCCACCTCAAGAACAAAACAGACCTAGGACAATGTGGTCATCCAAAAGGAGGGGCAAGGAATGAGCTGATTAATCCCTGAAAACTTGAGGATGAACTGAAGCACCTGAGAATGCCATTTTGAGACCAGAAAAAGGCAGGAGACCCAACAAAGGGGCAAAGTCATCTTGATCATGCTGACTTTACCCACTCCATGATGACCCTACGAAAACAAGGAGAGGAAGCCTGTCTGGAGAGACCCGCTCCCCCATAAATGGGTGAGGGAGGGTCACTACCCATCCTCACTACCCCCATCAAAGGGGCTAACTGGATAACGGCTAGCACGAACCCATAGAGCCTTCCTTCTGAGCAGAGTACAGCGCTGACCAGACAGAGAAGAACCAGCACGGGAGGGCACTTGTGACCTGGCCACTGGCTCCACAGATGGCCTACTCTGACCAGAAGAGAGCAAAGCCCCAGCCTTACCCAACCGCTTCAAAGATCGAGACCAGAAGCCTCGAACAAAAAGGAAGCAGTGATCGGATGGCAGGCAGTTGCTGTTGAGGTCATAAAGTGCATAACAATATCTTGCAGGAAGAGGGGTGGGCAAAATGGAGAGAGAAACAATAGAGCCAGGACTCACAGCGAGTCGAGAGACTGAGCCAACGCAGCCACCCGACTCGTGAGGCAGGCGGCGAAGAAAGTGGCAAGCGCCTCCCAGAGCATAGGACCACAACACTCAGGAAGAACAGCTGACGCCACAACAGCACAGATCAAAAACCCTGCAAGAAAAGCCCCACCAAACACGTCATTCTCCAAGAGTCAATCACTATGAAGCTCAAGGAGAGAAAGGAAGTGTACGACTGAACCCAAGTGCTAACAGGGGAGAAGGTCCTCTGCCACCTGCCAGACATTACGGCAAATGCCGCACCCCGCCCAAATAGAGACAGGAAACCCAAGGAACCTGAGCCACCCTAATCGAGGACCCCCACAAGCAAGGAAGGCCTCCAAGGAAGCGACCCCCAAACACCCCAGGGAAAGGATCATGAAGTGTAAGGGTAGCACTTGGGAGGACACAGGGAAGACAACTGTGCACATGCAGCTCCACGAACACTAAAGTCCAGACTCACGCTACACTGAACAGTGTAAAGCCAACAAAGGCTCTTTAACTGGAGGAGGAGAGCAGAGCCCAAGTGAGAGGCGACCCCCACACATCACCACCCTGGCCAGTCTCACTGGCTGACTTCCATCTTCAAAATTCTTCTGAAAGTTCAAATGACAAAAGTGAACAGTTAAGTATTACCCCTGAAACATAATTTTCATCCCAAAATAAATGAGACGCTGTTGATTAAGAAACCTTATCGATTGCTTTACAATAATAGGGAAACACTGACATTGTCTTCGTTAACATGGATGAAAATCCCTAATTTTCCGTCACGAGGTACTGCCACGATGCCCTGTATTATCATACATGTGTTTCGTATATGGAATACTCACATAGTTGAAAGAAAACTGGGCAATAATATGATAAATACAGACCTCGATGTCCTTCCACTTGCTGTAGTCTACCATGTTGACAGTGTTGTGGTCGTCTCGTACACACCAAGCTTCTCATACACTCACAACTTGCCTCTTACATTTATCTATTTATTTCTAACCTTAATAGTGTGTGAAACATTGTATAATGTAAGATTACGAAACACTTATTAAACGAAAAAAGTTAGTTATTTAACTTCATAAATCTCTGATGCGCCCCAACTTGGATTACGGCATTGAAGACCTTCAGAAGGACATAAATACTTTGGAGAAAGTGCAACACCAGGCAACAAAAATCATTCTAGAGCTAAGTCAACTCTCATGCCAGGAACGGTTGAGGGCCACAGGGCTAACAATACTGTCAACCTGACAAATACGGCTGATCGCTACGAAACTTTTAAAAATCTGAACAATTTGAAGGACGTTGATCCGAATAATTTCTTCTAAAGGTCAGATGTAACACAAACAAGGAGCAATGATTTCAAGCTCAACAAGCCACAGGGTAGGACTGAGAACATAGTTTTTTCACCCACAGAATTATAAACCCATAGAACCGCCTACCCGCCAAAGCCGTAAATCTAAAACTCTGCTGAAATTTAAGACCCAAATAGATACAATCATCACATAGCACCGCTCCCGTGCCGGGTAAGTCCACTAGGGGCTCACCATAGCCCGTGCTACTTGCCCCGCTCCTGTGGCAGGTAAGTTACGAGCTCACCATAGCCCGTGCTACTTGGAACTTGTTCCGAGTAGCTGAATCTATAACAACAACAACATACAATCATCAGGACAAATATGGGAGGACCTTTGACAAGCCGGTGGCTTCCAGTCCTCGTTAAGGCCACTATAGCGATAGTGCCCTTCAGATAAATTCAGGAATGCAACAAGAAGGTTACGAAACGCGTGTGTACGAAACATCCGTCATCCGCTACCTTTTATGTTTCATTTTGAAATTGAAATTGAAATTGAAATAAGTTTATTGAGGTAAAATACACACAAAGGGATGAGGTAGCTCAAGCTATTCTCACCCCGTTCAGTACAACGTGTTAATATATACATATACACACATCACAAATAAACATATTACCAAACATTCTGAGAGGTAAAAATATACATTTCCTCCCTCACAAAGAGTATGGTAAGAGAGTAAGTAAGAGTATGGTTTCATTTTAATTTGATTATAACAATAGAATATATTATTTCTACTCATACCATTAGTACATTAAGCAAGATATAGCTTGAGAACCACACCAGGTGTCTTGTTACTAACGCTGCGATTAATAAATCCAAGTGTCCGATTTGCCTTATTACGAACATTTATGCATTGATCCTTTTGTTTTAAATTCTTACTAATCATAACTCCCAGATTTATTAATCGCAGCGTTAGTAACAAGACACTTGGTGTGGTTCTCAAGCTATATCTTGCTCTAGTTAGGCCCCATTTAGATTATGCAGTTCAGTTTTGGTCGCCATATTATAGAATGGATATAAATTCACTTGAACGTGTCCAGCGTAGGATGACTAAGTTAATTCCCCAAATTAGAAATCTTTCATATGAAGAAAGATTAACAAAGCTTAAGTTGCATTCACTGGAAAGGCGAAGAGTTAGGGGTGACATGATAGAGGTTTACAAGTGGATGAATGGACATAACCGGGGGGATATTAATAGGGTATTAAAAGTATCAACACAGGACAGAACACGAAACAATGGGTATAAATTGGATAAGTTTAGATTTAGGAAAGACTTGGGTAAATACTGGTTCAGTAACAGGGTTGTTGATTTGTGGAACCAATTGCCGCGTAACATTGTGGAGGTGGGGTCCCTCGATTGTTTCAAGCACGGGTTGGACAAGTATATGAGTGGGATTGGGTGGTTATAGAATAGGAGCTGCCTCGTATGGGCCAATAGGCCTTCTGCAGTTACCTTTGTTCTTATGTTCTTATGTTCTTATCCCTTTCGCAATCCGACTTCGCAATCACAACACCATCTAGCTCGTATCTTGTAACTCTATCATCATTACCTAACCTCAGAACTTTACATTTATCAGCATTAAACTGCATCTGCCAATCCTTTGACCATTTCAAAACCCTATCTAGATCAGCTTGAAGTGATAGTGAGTCCTCCTCCGAATTAATTTCCCTACCGATTTTCGTATCATCGGCAAATTTGCAAATGTTGCTACTCAAACCTGAATCTAAATCATTTATATATATTATAAACAACAGAGGTCCCAGGACAGAGCCTTGAGGCACTCCACTTACAACATTTTCCCACTCTGACTTGATTCCATTTATACTAACTCTCTGTTTCCTTTGGTATAGCCATGCCCTAATCCAGCTTAATATAGCACCCCCAATACCATGAGACTCTATTTTTTTAATCAGTCTTTCATGTGGCACTGTATCAAAAGCTTTGCTAAAGTCAAGGTATACAACATCGCAATCCTTACTACTATCAACTGCCTCAACAATGCTAGAATAAAAAGATAACAAATTTGTTAAACATGAACGGCCATTTATAAAACCATGTTGCGACTCAATTATTAATTTATGTTTTTCAAGATGAAGACGAATTTTATTTGCTATTATAGATTCGAGTAACTTTCCCACAATAGACGTTAGGCTAATTGGTCGATAGTTAGACGCAAGTGATCTATCTCCTTTCTTAAAAACTGGTATCACATTAGCAACTTTCCAAAACTCTGGCACTCTGCCTGACTCTATTGATTTATTAAATATGGTTGACAGTGGGTCACAAAGCTCCTCTTTGCATTCTTTAAGCACCCTAGCAAACACTTCATCCGGCCCTGGGGATTTGTTTGGTTTGAGTTTTACTATTTGTTTAAGAACATCCTCCCTGGTAACTGCTAAACTCGTCAACCTGTCCTCGTCCCCACCCACATAGACTTGTTCGGCTGAAGTTGCTAATGTGATACCAGTTTTTAAGAAAGGAGATAGATCACTTGCGTCTAACTATCGACCAATTAGCCTAACGTCTATTGTGGGAAAGTTACTCGAATCTATGATAGCAAATAAAATTCGTCTTCATCTTGAAAAACATAAATGAATAATTGAGTCGCAACATGGTTTCATAAATGGCCGTTCATGTTTAACAAATTTGTTATCTTTTTATTCTAGCATAGTTGAGGCAGTTGATAGTGGTAAGGATTGTGATGTTGTGTACCTTGACTTTAGCAAAGCTTTTGATACAGTGCCACATGAAAGACTGATTAAAAAGATAGAGTCTCATGGTATTGGGGGTGCTATATTAAGCTGGATTAGGGCATAGCTATACCAAAGGAAACAGAGTTAGTATAAATGGAATCAAGTCAGAGTGGGAAAATGTTGTAAGTGGAGTGCCTCAAGGCTCTGTCCTGGGACCTCTGTTGTTTATAATATATATAAATGATTTAGATTCAGGTTTGAGTAGCAACATTTGCAAATTTGCCGATGATACTAAAATCGGTAGGGAAATTAATTCGGAGGAGGACTCACTATCACTTCAAGTTGATCTAGATAGGGTTTTGAAATAGTCAAAGGATTGGCAGATGCAGTTTAATGCTGATAAACGTAAAGTTCTGAGGTTAGGTAATGATGATAGAGTTACAAGATACGAGCTAGATGGTGTTGAGACTGCGAAGTCGGATTGCGAAAGGGATCTGGGAGTTATGATTAGTAAGAATTTAAAACAAAAGGATCAATGCATAATGTTCGTAATAAGGCAAATCGGACACTTGGATTTATTAATCGCAGCGTTAGTAACATGACACCTGGTGTGGTTCTCAAGCAAATCTTTCATATGAAGAAAGATTAACAAAGCTTAAGTTGCATTCACTGGAAAGGCGAAGAGTTAGGGGTGACATGATAGAGGTTTACAAGTGGGTGAATGGACATAACAAAGGGGATATTAATAGCGTATTAAAAGTATCAACACAAGACAGAACACGAAACAATGGGTATAAATTGGATAAGTTTAGATTTAGGAAAGACTTGGGTAAATACTGGTTCAGTAACAGGGTTGTTGATTTGTGGAACCAATTACCGCGTAACGTGCTGGAGGTGGGGTCCCTCGATTGTTTCAAGCGCGGGTTGGACAAGTATATGAGTGGGATTGGGTGGTTATAAATAGGAGCTGCCTCGTATGGGCCAATAGGCCTTCTGCAGTTGCCTTTGTTCTTATGTTGACTACTTCCTGTAATCCTGCTAATACACCTTGGAGTTCAGCCTGCGTTGAAGAGACATTGTCAGTTAAGCGGCGTCCAATAACAGTATCTACAGTGCCGATGTCAGTGTACTCCCTGATCAAGACTCCACATCCTGCCTTCCCATCCCTAGCTACTGACCCATCACAATATACATGTAGAGTGTTTTCTCTAGGCAGTTTCCTAATTATACAATCATATGTTGCCCTCAGCTCTCCTATTTCATACATACTTTTTTCTTTTGCAAGGGAAAAATTACTACATCTACGTTACAATCCTCCCATGGTAGTGTGAATTTTCTCTTGGGCACAGCAATACACTCTGTAATAACATCATACTTTATAACATTATAACATAAGGTACTCATATATGCTCTCTTCTTTATCATACATTGTTCATTACTTCCCACCTTTTGAACCGAGAGGATTAATTCATTAGCTCCCCCACCTCTCGTTAATCTAATGGCAGAAGCTACATTTATCTCTGAAATTCTATCCCCAATACTCTTCAGATTCAACTCCATCCTCATTATCTCAATCATAGCATTTCTTGGGCATCCTAAGATAATTCTCATAGCTTCATCTTGTACATTTTCCAACTTGCCCATCCTACCTTTATCAAAACAAGAAATGACAGGTGCAGCATAATCAATAAGAGATCTTACAGTACTCAAGTATATCATTCGTAGCACAGGGACTCCCACTCCCTTTCCACAGCATGCCAAGGCCTTCAGAGGTTGTAATCTCTTCCGACATTGACCCAACAATCTGTTCATCTCAGCTTCCAAACTCTCATGGGTATATCCAACATATATGCCTAAATATTTATATATATATTAACTCTCTATATTTTTACCGTTTATATCATCGGCATATATGATCGGAGTTACCCCATTTGAGTAACTATCAGATGCTATCTTATTCATTAGTACATTAAAGAGGGTGGGACTCAACACTCCTC